AAATTTATGGAATTACAAGGAGAAACTGACAAATTTATAGTGTTAACATACCTCTATGGGTAACTGATTAAAGCAGCAAAGAAATCAATAATGATATAGAAGATTGGAACTACGTAATTAATATACTTCATCTAAACTATATCCAAAAAACTTTTAGCATACACATAACTTTTACTTAAACTGACCATGTACTACACTCATAAAGCAAGTCACAACAAAATTCAAAGAATCTGTTATTATATGCTCCATACTTTCTGACTACAATGAAAAGAATTTGAAATTAAATAAACAAATTTTAAAATACACTTAGAAATAAACCATGAGATCTCATAAAATATGAGATCAAAAAAGGATAAAAGTTGGATCTTCAAAAAAAAAATTAGTAAAATTAATAAATCTCTACAAGATCAATCAAGAAAAACAAGGAGAGGGAGGCAACAGATCAGTGTTTCGCTCTCTCTCTCCCATCCTCCCTCTCCCCCACTTCCCTTTTTCTCTCTAAAATCAATTTTTAAAAAAAGAAGTGTAAAAGGTACACAATTAAAGATTCCATAGACACAAGTAACCTTATGACAATTAGTTTGAAAATAAATAAAATGAACAAACTCCTAGAAATAAACTTACCAAAATTGACTCATGGAAAAATAGAAAACCTGACTGGTCCTATAACAATTATCAGAAATTGAGTCAGTAGGTTAAAGTCTCCCCATGAATTAAACATTAGGCTTAGACATTCTTATGATCAATCATTAAGGAAAAAAAGAAGTCTAATTTTCCATAAATTTTTTTCAGAGAACAGAAAAGGAATCATCCCAATATCATTTTCAGAAGGCTAGAAACTTCTTAAGATAAAAAAACTAGGGTCCTGTTGGTGTGGCTCAGGGGTTGAATGTCAACCCATGCACCAAGAGGCCGCATGTTTGATTCCCGGTCAGGACACATGTCCAGGTTGTGGGCCTGATGCCCAGTGGGGGGCATGCAAGAGGCAGCCAATCAGTGTTCTCTCTCATCAATGTCTCTCTCTCTCTCTCTCTCACTTCCTCTCTAAAATCAATAAAGGAAAAATAATAATAATAATAAACAACTAGGCAAAGCCCTGGCTGGTGTAGCTCAGTGGTTAGAGGGTTGGTCTCCTGCACCAAAGGGTCCTGGGTTTGATTCCTGGTCAAGGGCACAAACCTGGATTGCAGGTTTGATCTCCAGCCCTGGTTGGGGTGCGTGTGGAAGGCAAACAATTGATGTGTCTCTCTCACACTGATGTTTCTATCTCCACCCCGCCCTCCCTTCCATCCTCTCTAAAAAATCAATGGAAAAAATATCCTCGGGTGAGGATTAACAAAAAAACAAACAAAAACAAAAAAAACTAGGCAATTATAAACCAATCTTCCAAACATAAATGCAAAAATATTAAACTAAGTACGTGCAATCAAATTCAACACTGTGAGTGTGAGTGTGAGTGTGAGTGTGTGTATTCCAGCTAAGTATGACTTAAGTCCAGGAATGCAGTGAACTTAACATTAGAAAATTAATGTAGTTCACTGCATTAATGAAACATGGGCTCCTTATCAGTGCAGAAGCAGCACTCAATAAACTTCGATTTCCATATACAATTAAAAAACAACTCCTTGCATACTAGGAATAAAATTAGAATTCCTTAATAAGGCCAAAGATTTCAAATATTTATTCATGCTTAACTGAGTACCATTTTAACATTTAAAGTTACTACTTTTAAAATTAAGGAAAAAAGAATGAAATTAATAATAGTTTAGCTATTATCACCCCTATTCGGTATGATAAAGGACATCCTAGCCACTATAATAAGGCAATAATAAAAAATAAAATGGATAAGAATTACAAAAAAATAAAAATATTCACTAATCATATTAATTTTTACATACAGTTACTAGAATATATAACTATATATATAATTTGCATAAATTAACAGTAGATTCTTCTGAGTTAAGATATTTTAGGAAAGTTGCAGGATATAAGATTATACAAATGTCAATTACATTTCCATGCATCAGCAGAAAGAAAACATAACTTTAAAAATTTTTTAACTGGGATAGAAAGTACAACATGATGACTAGTTAGCAATGCTGTATAGCATATTTGATAGCTGCTAAGAGAGTAGATCCTAACATTTCTCATCACAAGGAGATAAAATTTTTTATAACCACATGAGGTGATGGATGTTAACTAAACTTACTGTGGTAATCATTTTGCAATATACATGTATGTCAAGTCATGCTGTGCACCTTAAACTTATATAGTGTTGTATGTCAACATATCTCAATAAAACTGGAGAAAAAAATAAAATACAATTTTTTTTAAGTTTTTAAAACAATTTTTTTTCTTTATTGATTTTTAGAGAGAGAGGAAGGGAGAGAGAGAGAGATGGAAATATTGATGAGAGAGAACATCAACTGGTCACCTCCTGCATGCCCTCCCCCCTACTGGGGATGGAGCCCACAACCTGGGCATGTGCCCTGACCGGGAATCGAACCAGTGAACTCTTGGTACATAGGTCAAGGCTCAACTGCTAAGCCACACAGGCCACGCCAATTTTTTTAAAGTTTTTAAGTGAAGGAGTTAACAGATCCCTAAAAAAAAAAAAGTCTAAAAGATATTAAAGATTTAAATAAATAAGATGCCATTATATATATGAAAAAAGTCTCAACATCATAAAGATGTCAATTCTCCCCAAATTGACAGTAGTTAATGCAATTTCAATTTTAAAAAGTCACAACAGAGAACAGAGGGTTTGTTTTTGTGAAAACCGAGGAGATTTTCAAATTTCTAAGCAAAAGACCAAGAAGAATCAAGATAATATGAAAAAAACAAGGTGGAGATTTGCTTCACCAGATGCAATTAAAAAAGCATTACAAGATAAGACAGTGTGGTATTGATACAACTAGACCAACGAAACAGAAGAGGCTAGAAACAGACTTGGGTATGTATTTGCTAACTTGGCACCTGACAAAGGCAGCATTGAAAACTGGTGGAGAAGAGATGGCCTACTTTTAAAAAGTAATATTTGCCAGCTGAGAGTGAAAATAAGCTATAAAATGTGTTAACATTTTGCCAAATTTGGCTCAGTTTTGATTGGTTTAAAACTAAATTAACTTCTGGAAATGGCTAATTCACACACAATGTGAGTGTACTTTTAATGCCATTGAAGTGTATACTTAAAAATGGTTAAGATGGTACATTTTACATTATGTATATTTTACCACAATTTGTAAATTTTTAAACTAAATACATTGTTAAAAAGTGGTCTTTGACAAAACTGGTCATTCATCTGCATAAGAATGAAACTGAACCCATACTTCACCACACGCAGGGAGAAATTAAAAACAGTCCTTAAGACTTTTTAAGAAAAATTTCTTTATGATCAAATACCATAACCTGGCCCTGGCCAGTTTGGCACAGTGGTTAGAGCGTCAGCCTGTGGTCCAGAGAGACCCGGGTTCAGTTCCCGCTAGGGGCGCGTACCTCGGTTGCAGTTTGTCCCCGGCCCTGGTTGGTTGTGCGGGTGGCAGCCACTCGATGTGTCCCTTTCACGTCGATGTTTCTCTCTCTCTCTCTCTCTTCCTCTCTCTCCCTCCCACTCTATCTGAACAAAAAATGGAAGAGTGTCCTCAGGTGAGGATTAAAAAACAAACAAAACTATAATCTGACAGGAAGAGTGTAATTTCAATACACATTTAATAAACAAAATTTTTTAAATTCCTAAAACGAAAATAACAAAAACACAACACAGCCTTCCCCCCCACTACCCTCCCAAAATGAACAAACTACTAGGACAGACAGACTAGGAAAGGTTCAGACGGCAGACAATAACAAATGTTAGGGAGCTGTTTGGTGGTGGAAAGTGGCACAATCCCTTTGAAAAACAATTTGGTATCACCTGGCAGAGTTGAGGATGAACCCAGCCTACCCACAGCCATTCATCCCTGAACATCTGCCCTGTGGAAGCCTGTGCACATGTGAACCAAGAGGCAAGACAACAGGAATGAGTCTTGATAACAGAATGCTGAAAGAAAGACTCCAGACACAACAGTCAAGTTATGGTTCCACTTAGCTGTTGGTCAAGAACAGGCAAGACTATCTATGGTGATAGACATAAGAACATCGGTGGCCTATGGGGGTGGACACTGACTAAAAGGGGACAAGCAGGAACTTGCTTGGGTGATGAAAATGATCTACACCTGGATCAGTGTTGGCTATACAAGTGTATGTATTTGTCAAATTCACCGAACTATGTACTTAATATCTGTGCAGTTTACTGTGTATAAATTTTGCCTCAGAATAAAAGGGAGAGAGAGAGAGAGACAGGGTGATTTGTGAGCCATTTAATCCTCCTAAGGGAAATCATTTGTTTCATATACTTTGCAGTAGCAATTTGCATATAATTGTACTCTAAGCACAAATTTATTTTATTCACTCAAAAAATAGGCTCAAATTCTCTTCTTGGCAACATATTTTAGCAAGCTCAATTCAAGACATAAGTATTCGAAAGAAAAGCTACTCAGGACTTGCCCATTTACTCTGAATTGACTAAGTGAAAATACTGGGACACATTTAGAAAAATAAAGAATTTAAAGGCTGGATAAATAGTAGTTCAGCCATATGACTTCACAGGCAAAGGTTAAAATTTCACAACTTATTGCCTCTCGCTTTTCTTCACAAATCAGTGAGGATATACGTACATGATCAGTCCCAACAACAAATAATTCAGAACTCACTTGTTACCACCACCTCCATCCCCCAGAGATTCTGCCTGAAAGGAGAGGAAGGTGGGAGAACAGAGACACCAAACCTCCAGTATGAACATTAACTTCCAATTCCCAGAACAGAAATTCCACTTCCAGACCAATCTGCTTACTAAGTATATGAGTGTGTGAAGGTCATCAAAACTAAGCCCTGTTGTGTCTAAACTTCCCACACCACACATCAAAGCCCAGGAACAAAGCAGACACATGTGACATATTTCCTACCTTTCTTTACTGGGATTGCTATATGCTTCTTCAATAAGTTCCATTTCGTCCAAATCCTTCCACATGCTTCCATCCAGGAACTGCCATCGATAAGGCAAATGGAAATGAACTCTATTGCACTTATCTAAAATAAAAATATAAAGTAGACATTTTGGCATTAGACAGCATGACCTAGTCCCATGGTTCTCAGTGAGTGTGGTGCTGAGTGCTGACCTGGGAACATTCTGGAAATTTGTAGAAGAGTTGTTTATTTTTAGTACAGTCATATCTATGCATTTAGATATTTAAATATTATGTAGTTTACCATATACATTTTCAAGAGACCATTACACTGATTTTTCAAATAATTTATGTTGGTAGGCTACATTATATATGAATTTCATCTCATGATAGTAAAGAAACTGATAACAAGAAGGTCAAATGCTCATCCTAGCAGGTGGAAGTCTGACTATGTGTTACTGCTATTCAAGTAGCAGGTGGACAGGTAGTAGTCACACTAAAAACGAAGCCAGCTTTACCATCCCATCCCCAGACACTTTTGATCTCAAGTGGGTCAGAAGTGTTGTTTTAATACACATTGATCTTTCCAGCTGCTAACACAATCACCTGTCCTCCACACACCCCTATACCCCTGAAGATCTTTATACACTGCTCTGTCCCTGCAGATATACACATAATGAATGGCCTAGGTCTATAGGTTTCAGCTGACTTCCCCCATGCCTTCCCTGTGCTCCCCAGGGCCTCACCCAGAATGCAGCCCACAACCTCTACCTATCAATATCCTCTATGAGGTTCTGCTTTATCCATACAGAGCAATGTTGTGAGAGGACAGAGAGACAGGGGAAAAAAGCAATGGGAAGCTCTGGGCACTCTCCTATGGACCCACTTCCAAGATATATTGGGGTAAAAAAGAAAAGAAAAAAAAAGTAGAAATATTTTCACTAAATACACATCTATGCACATATTATTCCTTGCAGGGGGAACTGGGTGGCTGGGACCGAATTATGAAGAAATTTCTGGGGTTTTATTGCACCTTTTGAATTTTGAACCAAGGTATGTATGATATATGCCAAAAAATTAAATATCGAGTTAAGTGAAAAAAAGATATAACAATGTGTGTAGTGTGCCTGTGAAAGAAGGTAACAGACTAGACATATACACTTGTGCCTGTATAAAATCTTTGTGAGCCCTGGCCAGTTCAGTTCAGCAGTTAGAGCATTGGCCTGAGGACCGAAGGGTCGCAGGTTCGATTTCTGGTCCAGGGCACATACCCAGGTTGCAGGTTCAGTCCTCAGCCCCTGTCAGGGTGGTACGGGAGGCAGCTGATCAATGTCTCACATGAATGTTTCTCTCTCTCCCTCCCTCTCTTCTACTCTATCTAAAAAAAAAAAATTAATGAAAAAATATCCTCAGGTGAGAATTAACACACAAAAAAAAAGAAAAAGAAAAAAATTGTAATATGTTTATATTGATTTTTTAGTGAGAGAAGAAGGAAGAGATAGAAACGTCAATGTGAGAGAGACGCATCAATTGGCTACCTCCTGCACACTCCCTACAGGGGATCAAGCCTGCAACCCAGGAATGTGCCCAACCAGTAACTGAACCAGGACCTCTCAGTCCATGGGACGACACTCAATCCACTGAGCCACACCAGCCGGGAAAAAACCATCTTTATGAAAGAATATTAAAGGAACTAGTAATAGTGAGTTTCTGGAGACAATCTAGTTACTGGGAAAAAGAGGTGTGAAGGAGACCTTTCTTATTGACTGTCCTTTGTACATTTTAAATTCACCTTTCAAAATAGCAACAATGAAGCTTGGCTAATGTGACACTTGACAATAATTATAATTTTCTAAAATTTTAAGCATTATTTCAGGTAAGTCTCACTAGCACTTCTTTCCCAGAGATTCTACAAAAGGTTGTGGTGTGAGGACCACCATTGAGGAAGGTGGGGAGGCTGCCTGGACTTGTCAAAGGCCAGGCCTGGGGCCCAGCCAACTGGGCAGAAGAGAGCACCTGACTAAGAGGACAGAGAACAAGAGCAGAGGCCTCAACTGAGGGAATCTCCTCTGAGATAAGCACAGTTGGATAATAGCCACACTGGGGACTCAGGACATCCTGACTTGTCCAGAGTTAGAGCTTCTTGGACTCTTGACTAGGAGTGTGTACAAGAATGATAATGAAGACTTGGCCTGGATAGATGAGGTCATGACTGTGGTCCAGAGGTTACAACCAAATAAGATTTCCTGTTTCCTCCTGAGGAGCATTAAGGGAAATGACCCTCAATAAATGCATCTATACACCCTAGCACAGGTAAAATCTGGATGGCCTAAAGAAAGATTTTCTCTTTAAGAAGGCACCTCCAGGGAAGACACACCACCCACTGCCTTCCAGACTGATGCTTCATTGAGAAGCATATGTGGGCCAAGGGAAGAGATTATGGTCAAACAGCAGGTTCAAGCCTTCTGGTTCTTAATCTGAGCTAAGTATGGAGTCCCCAGTGCTCATAAGTAAGAAGGCACCAGGAAAGAAAGGTGCCACATAGGTCACCACAGTGGCTGGCAAAAGCTGAGTGCCGGCTCAGTGATGGAGGCATGAGAGCTTTCTCTGCCACATCTGCCCTGGTCCTCCTGTCCCTTTCTCAGTTTCCTTCCCTACTTCAAATGTTCCCCACCTCATTGCGGTATTAGTGAGTCTAGGCTTTCTAAAAGGTGAGCCACAGAAACCAATCAATTTGTCAGAGTACCCACATCTACATCCCCTTTCTCTCTACAGCCCTAGAAATGAAAGACCACAGAAAGAATAAATCCTAAAGCACTAGAAAACAATAAACCATTCCATCAAAAGAACAGATTTATTGAAGAATTCCTAAAAATATGAAACAGAATCAAACTGATAAAGACAGAATAAAAACACACACAAAGTATGCAGAAGAGAGCTACCACAGAAGTGGGAAGGGTGTGGGGGCTTCACAAACTCAAAGTTCAATGTAACAAGAAACAAGGAATACACCCAGGCAATTACAATGAGAGTAACTGGGACCCTCCAGAGCAGGCATTCCCTCAGTGCCTTGCTTGTGCTCAGCAACCTTGCTATTTGTCCCATGAAACATGTGAGTGTAGATATAAGGGATGCAGAAAGAAGCCTATGAGAGAGTCATTAAAGCCCCCAGTCCTAGGATATATGCTAGCAGTCTACCCACCAAGCAAGACATACTGCCTCTTCCCCCATTGAGCCTGGCATCAGAATCAGCACAGAGATTCTACCAACATGAGCAGACAACCAAGAGTCACACAGAAGAAAAATTTACACATCCAGGCCGCTAACTCACACAGAATAATCAATACCTAAGAAAATAATTATTAGAGAAAACAAATCAAAAGTAATACATCTAAATATTAAAAGCTAAACCTATAAAACTTTTGGAAAAAAAAGTATGAGAAACATTTTTTTGTGAGCTTAGAATAGGCAAAGATTTTAAGGTACAAAAACACAAACCATTAAAAAAATATTACAATGGGTATCAATATTAATGTTTATACTCTTCAAAAGACACCATGAAGAAAATGAATATGAAAACACAGAGAATATATTTCCAATACTTATATCTGGCAAAGACATATAAATATTCAAAACTCTTGCAACTCATTAACGAGATCAAACATCCCCAAAATGGGCAAAATCACAAAAAGTCACAAAGACCATATATTGTATTCCATTTATGTGAAATATCTGGGCAAATCCACAGAGATAGAATGTGAGTCTGCAGTTGCCAGAAGTTGGAGGGGAGGGGAGAATAAGAGTGACTTCTAATGGATACAGGGCTTCTTTGGAGGTGATGAAATATTTTAACATCGACTGTGATAATGGTTGTCCAATGCTTTGACATTAGAAACTATTGCCCTGGCTGGTGTGGCTCAGTGGTTAGAGTGCCAGCCCGCACACTGAAGAATCACGGGTTCCATTCCCGGTCAAAGGCACATACCTGGGTTGCAGGTTCCATCTCCAGCCCTGCTCAAGGCACATTTGGGAGGCAACCAATTGATGTCTCTCTCTCTCTCAGATCAATGTTTCTCTCTCTCCCTCTTCTCTCTCTCTCTTTCACACACACACCCTCCTTCCCTTCCACTCGCTCTAAAAATTAATGAATCGGGTTAGGATTAACAACAGCAAGAAAAAAAAAGAAACTATTAAACAGGTGATTTGGATAGTATGTGAGTTATACTCAACATCTCAATAAAGCTATTATGTTAAAAACAGGCAAAAGATTTAAATAGATACTTCACAGAATACATACAAATGGCCAATAAGCAAATGAAAATAAATTTTAAATAACATTAGTCATCAAAAAATGCAAGTTAAAACTACAATGAGCTATCACTATTCACTTATTAGAATAGCTAACATTTACTTTTTTTATTTTATTTACTTACTATTATTTTTAATCCTCACCTGGGGATATTTTTCCATTTATCTTCAGATAGAGTGGGAGGGAGGGAGGGAGGGAGGGAGGGAGGGAAACATCGATGTAAGAGACACGTTGATTGGTTGCCTCCTGTAAGACCCCAACCAGGGTGGGGATCAAACCCCAACTAAGGTATGTGCCCTTGACCACAACTCTTTGGTCCAAGGGCTGACGCTCTAATCGCTGAGCCAAATCAGCCAGGGCAGAATAGCTAACATTTAAATGGCTGACAATACCAAGTGTTGACAAGAATAACTGGAATGCTCATACATTGCTGGTGGGAAGGTAAAGTAGTACATCCACTTTGGAAGACAGTTTGGCAGTTTTTTGTCAAATTAAACACCCATTTATCACATGATCCAGTAATTACACTTCTGGGTCTTTACCAAAGCAAAGTGGAAACATATATCCACACAAAAACTTGTACATGAAGATTTATAGAAGCTTTATTTGTAAAAAGCCAAAAACTGGAAACCCAAATGTTCATCAACATCTGAATGGATAAACAAATTGTAGTCAATCCATGTAACGGAATACTACTCAGCAAAGGAACAATGTATGGATATTCCAGCATGAGCAAGCCTCAAAAACATGCTCAGTGAGAGAAGATGGTACAGGAGAATACATGTTGTGTGATTTTATTTATATGAAATTCTAGAAAAGGCAAATCTAACCTACAGCAACAAAAAGTAGATCAGGAATTTCCTGGGGTTGGAATATTGAGGATTGTCTGTAAAGGTGCATAAGGGAAATTTTTGGAATGAGGGAACTGTTCCATATCTAGATTAGAGTCATGGCTACAAGAGCATACGCATTTACCAAAACTCAGAGTGTACATTTAAAATGGATTCATTTTACTGTGTATAAATTAGATCTCAGTGTTGATTTTTAAAGTATACATACATATGTATATATGACACATATCCTTTGACATTCCATTTCTAGGAACCTATTTAAGGAAATACACATGTATATTCAGATGCTCAATGGAACATCCCTCCAATTGAATATTACACAACTGTATTTAAAAACAAGGTGAACTTACATGTACTAACTAACATGGAAAAAACCTCCAAGACACATGTAAAGGAAGCAGGTTCAATAATATGTCACATGTTCCCATCCACTGAAAACTATGTAAAACAAATACCATGACAACATGGTATGTGTTTACCTTTGGGGAAAGCTGAAGAACTTCAGACTTTATTCTGTATTATTAGACTCTCTTACAAAGTAGTACTATTATAAATTGCTTGGGTAGTTTTTAAAGACTGAAAATGAAACAAGAAGTTGTGGTGTTTGTTTTTTAAGAGGAGTCACCGATCAAATCTGAGAAAGACTCATTCTTCAGTCAAAGCCCAGGTCAGCAGCAAACAGAAAACAAAGGTTTAGTAAAAATATAAACACAGCATAGACACAATTGCTATTTATGATAAAAGAGGGACTGTGGAGAGAAAACCACAACTTAATAATTACTCATCCCCCAAGAGTAAACACAGTTACCACCTCCTCAGGAAGGGCCTTCCCAGTTTCTAAGGCATCTCTAAGTCTATGACCATCCTTTATGAAGGACACTTACCTTTGTTCCCACTAGACTAGGCATCTGTATCTCGTGCACTTCACGCTATGCTGACCAAGGATTCACTCACTGCATGAACCAAAGAGTTATGCAATTATGGCCCCCAAAATCTTCTACAGTTTGAGTTTTAGAAACTCGAATAATTTATACCATCCCCAACTCCCCAACAAAATTGCTTCGGAACTAATTTGGCTGAATACCACACCAGCTCATGATTAAGAAGGCCTGACCCTCTCTAGACTGGGAGAAGACTTTGTGGGTAGTCTCAGAACACAGCTCCAGGAATGAGAAGCAGTTATCCCACCCACACGTGGATGAAGGGGTTCCCTGTAACTTACCTTGAAAGCTACAACTTTTCCGGATATGATACAAGCAGATCTCATCACTCTCCTCTTGGTTAGAAGTCGTTGAGGATACAGAACCTGAACTGTCTCTTCTCTCTACAAAGAAACACCATAAGGGTATATATCATCAGCCACTGAATTTAATTCTAATAGCAAATATTTGTGACTGAACTATTAGAATTAGGTACAAATACCAAGGAAAAAGCAATTAATAGAAAGGCTACCTCTCAAAATAAAACCTCAATTAATTTAGGTTAATTATAATTTTAATATAAAAAGGACATGTGATTTTAAAGTTTACCTTTACTAGTGCTACAATGAGCCTTTACACCTAATAGTTATATTTAATACTCCCCACCTACCATCATATAAGCAAGCATATAGCAAACCCTCTCTACTTAGTATCACCTATCATCTTGTTATTCGTCTTCATTTTTTTTTTTATGTGCCCCTAAGACATCCATAGGCTGGGCTTCAAAACCTATACCAATGGGACCCTGGAGGTCACCTCCCTCTATCCCCAAGGGCAGATATCCTTCCCTCCCTTGCCAACAAGGTCATAATCCAATTGAACTCTTCAAGGTCTATTTAAAGCAAAACCTGTCTACTTCTAGGCTTCCTACTACTGAAGGAAATTAACCAAAATTAATCAAACAAAATGTGAAGAAAACACACATATGGCAAGTATAATTGTTACATATAAAAATCAGATAAGATTAGCATGATAAGTCTGTCTGCTGGTAGTCCTGACACCTGATATTTTAGGAAGGGGTCTATTTATAATCCTAGATATTACTGCAAACAAGTGGATTTGATTGTGCATCCCTGGAGGGAGCAGTGTCTCATAGTCACCAAGACATAACCAAGGCCCAGGACAGTAACTAGCACACGACAAGCACTAAAATTTGTTGAATAAAACAATGGATAACCAGAATGGCCAGCCAACAGACAATACTGTGAAATGCAAGGGACACCAATATATCATGACCTTTGTGAAGGACCATGTTCTTGTTTTAAATTTTTTTTTCTTTGTTGGTTTCTTTTAGAGAGAGAGCTAGAAACAGTAATGAGAGACAACATCGATTGGCCACCTCCTGCATGCTCTACACTGGGGATTTGGCCTACAAAACTGGTCACGTGCCCCAACCAGGAACTGAACCGGCGCCCTCTTGGTGCATGGGTCGACGCTCAACCACTAAGCCACAACAGCAAGGCAGGGACTACAGTCTTTATTTCCCACACAAGATGTACTCAAGAAATGCTTATTACATAAACAATCTCTACTCAGAATTTCTCCATATGCCTGTCACTAAGCCTGACATTCCTTTTTAAAAAATAGTAATTATCCTAGCATGCCATTCATTCAATAAATTGAGTGCTTACTATGGGCCAGGCACTGCCCAGATGCCAGAGATGGGCAGTGAACAAAGTGAATTTACAATGACTAAAAAAAATTTCATTTATTCATCTCAAGAAGAGAACCAACATTCCTCTATGCTTTGTTCACTCATTTTTAAAACAATCAAAATGGAATGCAATGCAAAGGATGCCCCTAGAGTTGTGCAGCATGGCATTCTTAACTTTGGGGTCCCTCAGTGAAAGGCAAGCTCTCCAGGGGACAGAGGGACAACTGCACAGAGAAGCAGTCTCCCATCTCAGTGTAGTTCAGGCCTGGAGGGAATTCATTCACTGTCAACACCAACTGGCACTTTTGTAGAATGTCTTGCTTATTCACGGCCATGATTTCAACTCATCTTCATAACCCCCATTAGCTAGAAAGGAATCACTCATAGCATTTTACTAAAAGTAGTACCGACTTATCCAAAGTCACACATTCCATTTAATGTCCAGCTTGAATCCAGGGACCCCAGCCCAGAACCTTACCAGAAGTCCTCTGTGGGCCCGGAGAAGAGCTCTTATTCTTGATGTCATGAGCATTTCTATAAATGGAAGGCAGCCTGCTCATCAGTTCTGAGCTCATGCCCGACTTCTGCAATTTTTCCAGATTCTTAGAACTAGAGAAATCATGGGATCTCTTACAGCCCTTGCCAAACTTGCATTCACCCTGTAAAAAATACTGGCAGACATGGAGTTTGACACATTGCTTCCCAAAGGAACAAGAGCCATGAAGTCCATCTCCTTTGTTGTAGTGAAGGCAGATCTGTTGAGAGAGAAGGGAAAAGACAGAGTTTAGAAGCCCTCACATTACACCATCTTCCCACTGACCAGTGCACTGGTTAGAAGAGGTTCCCCTAGAGACATAGCCACTGCTGTGATTCCTTCATTCATATAGGCCACACAAAATGAGAATATCCTTCACTCTAAATGGATAACTGTTAACATATGCCCTTGGCTAAAGTGGAAGCAGGGTGGACAACAGACTTCTCAGAACAAGCCCCCCCCCCACTGGGAAAAGCCAAAGAACTTCAAACAGAGCTACTCCTTCACAGGAGACATTTTAATGTAAATTGTGAAACAGCTTCTAACCACCCTTATATTCTACCTACACCTTTCCCCCTGATTCACCAACTCTCCCCTACTCATGCCCCAGTTTCTCCCAACCCTTTTTTCTACAACTCAAGGTCAAAGAGGCTCTGAGGATTTAAAGCAACTTGGAGAAGGCCAAATACAGCCCTCTGTTTCTCAAAGGAGCAAAAAGACTCTGAGAAGTTAACCAGCTTGCCCTAGGTCACACAGCAATCTGGCACATACATGGCTATTGAACTGGGTTGTTGGCAAAGCTGGGACTAGAACTTGAATCAACTGCTCCTTCTTCTCTATACCCTGAATTCTTGTAGATGCAAACCAGGCCAGAGACCACTAAGGGCCCCCACTAAACTCATAGGCATTACACTGGGCAAGATTTGGCAGGGACCCCACTCCAGGGATAGAAGTCCCCAAGGGAAAGGCCAGAGAAGACTGAGCCTTAACCATGATTCTGCCACTTATAATCTTAAGCAAGCCACTGCCTGACTTTAAGCAAGCCACTATCAGCTCTGAGATTCAGTTTTTAAATTCCCTAAAATGAGAATAATCCCACCTACATTGCTGGGCTACTGTGAGGATTAAATGGGAAATACAAGGAGTGGCTAATACAATGCCTGGAACACAAGTGGATGTTCGAATCATGGTGATGGCCCTCAACTGGTCATCAGATAAGGAGTCTAGCCTGAGAGCAGAAGTCCTCGCAGAAATGCATACTGGGTCCAAGTTTATGGTCTTAGCTCCCATTTGCTGGCATTGTGTTCTGAACCAATCTGTACATCCAAGCACACAGAGGCTATACACTCCAGATTGGTCACATTCTGGCACATTTTTCACACTACTGACAAGATGGTCTCTCCAAAACGGGAATGCCCACTCTGCAAACACAAACCCCTCCCCCAATAACTCCTTCCTTGTGATATAGAAGGCTGCATGAATGAGTCTCTGCCCACCCATTTATTTTTCTCCCCTCTCTAACCCTAAATCCAGGTGCTGTCTCCTGATTGACCATGCCCAGTTCCCTCCTCTCTGTGTCTCCTTCCCCGGACTTTCATCCTTCAATAATCCTTCAGCAGGCACCACCTACTCCAGGATGCCCTGACCAGCGCCAACTGTGCCCCCAATACCAGAGCATGCTTCTATTAGAGCATCTAAAACAACACCTTACAATTATCCCGACTTGTCTGTCTGACCCAGTAAATGTGCCTCCTGGAAGGGCAGAACAGGGTTTTTTAATCTCCTTATCGCCAGTGCCTGACTCATAGAGGATAGTCAATAAAAGTTAGTTGAATTAAATCAATACTAATTTTCAAAAGGCAAAAGAGTTAATACTTATTATGTGCCAGTCACTGTGCACCTTTCTCAAATGGGTGATTTTAACTGAATCATATGGAAGAATTTTCATTAAAATATGCCAATCTAACCCTGGCTGGTTTGGCTCAGTGATTAAAACATCAGCCCGCGGACCAAAAAATCCCAGGTTTGATTCCAGCCAAGGGCACATAACCTCGGTTGTGGTTTGTCCCTGGCCCCGGTTGGGGTCGTGTGGGTGACAACCAGTCAAGGTGTCTCTCTCACATTGATGTTTCTTTCTCTCTCTCTTTCTTTCCCCCTCCCACTCTGACTAAAGATAAATGTAAAAATATCCTCGGATGAGGATTAATATATATATATATATATATGTATATATATATATATGCCAATCTAATCACTATTGCCTCATTGCAGAAATAGTGTCAGAGCATCCCACACAACCCTAGCCACAAGAAGGAACTGCTCAGATGTGCTGCAGAGCACAGCTAACTCTCAAGCCCAGCTGCTGCTGCCCTCTGGAGCCACTACCTTGTTCACACAGAGGCTACACTCCTGCGGATGCTCCCAGCCAACAATGGAGCTTGACATTCTGAGAAGATGCAGGCCACCTCCAACAGTGAAGGCTTTAGCTCAGAACTGCCGTTGGTCAAGTCGAAGTTTTCTTAGAAGTGGGTTACAGTCAAGATATCTTTCTGTCCAGTCCCCTTCCTTCCCCATCTCCTGCCACAGATGTCAGACCTGCATCCTGCCTGAAGGCTCACCCCAACTTCTTCTGCTCATTCCCCAATAAATCTCTCACACTTATTATCCCATCTTGGTGTCTGCTTCTAGGAGGACCCAAAGTCTTACATAACCATTGCAATGAGCTTTGAAACATGTGGTTAATACCGGAAATACAACATCAGAATTCACATCAACTAAAGTTCAAAATCCTAGGTGCAAGTGAATTAGTAGACAGCGGATCATCTGCCTGTCAGCAGCCCTAGAAAGCTTCTCCACAGACCCAACTGGGTCCAGCGATGTCTGCATGGTTCCAAGTCCTGCTAGACAGCGAGGGGCTGGCTGGAGTTTCTCACCCCCTCAACTGTGTAAATAACGTCTTGCTGCAACCACTGGCCAAACAGGCTGCCCCAACCTCACAGAAGCCATGGAAAGGAGGTACAAGCCCAACTGATACAAAAGGAAAGGAGGCTTCAAGGGACAATGTTGGCACAAGGTCACAGAGCCAGGAATTCAATCTAGGTCTCTTGCAAGCAGACCCCAGTGGTCATGATGGGGGGGTTTGGCTTTTCTTCTGCCATAGTATTTCCTATCTTCCAACCTTCCTGCCTCTTCCCAATTACATACTCACATACCCATCCCCTCCTGGCACTCACCTCCGGCAAAAGCCAAGGGTCGTTCTGAAGCAAGAGCTGGCAGAGTTCACTGTAGCTGAGGTGGTCAACACTGTGAGTTTTCAGCACACTCAGATTGTGCTCTGTTGTCAAGGTGTGACTGCAGTTCTTCCTGCAAAGGAGCAGACATGGTGACAACTGAACTGTGTTTACAAAATTCTTAAAGTTGAAGTCCTAACCATCAGTACCTTAGAAGTGATTGTACTTGGAGGCAGAGCCTTTAAAGAGGTTATTAAGTTAAAATGGGGTCACTGTAGGGGGATCAATCCAATCTGACTGGTCTCCTTTTAAGAAGAGGGGACTAGGACACAGACTTGCACAAAGGGAAGGCCATGTAAGGACATAGGGAGATGACCATCTACAAGCCAAGAAGAGAGGCTTCAGAAGAAACCAACCCTTAATGTCTAACTTCTAGCCTCCAGAATTGTAAGAAAATTAACTTCCGGTTGTTTAAGCCCCCCCAATGTGTGGTAATTTGTTACATCAGCCCAAGCAAGCTAAGAGAGCTAGTGAAATCGGTCCTTAAGATAATTTTACAAGAACAGTTACATTGTTTTTCTCACACTGGAGAAAAAACAGTATTTCTACACAACCATAAAACATAAAGCTTATTTACAAAGGAAAAGATGGTAACTTGTGAATTCTAGAACCCAGAATAGTGCCTCTCAGCAGGTATCTAATGAGAATGACAGGTCCAGTCCACAAAGAAGAGTCATAGCATACCAGTCACTGGACACTTAAACAATGGCTGAATAAATAAGTGTGGATGCCTTATGGTTATAAGGACTTACACAAGCATGCACACACACCCCTGAAGTCCAGCCCTCTCTCCTCCCCTCCTCCATTTTTTTGATCAACAAACCCTTGTTAAACATTCTTTGTGAGCCAGGCACTGGCACCATGCCCCAATGATCCAAAGACTTCAATTGATTGCCTGGATCAACATGACCCGGAAGAGTCAGGCAAATACCATTTGCTCAACTCAGTCACTGCTGTATCTCATACATCATGATTATAAGCATCTCAAAAGAAAACTGAACCCCTGATCAACTCCTCCAATCTGCACCTCCCACAGGCTCTGCCATCTTAGTAAAAGGTCATTTCCCTCTTCTATGGTACAGGCCAAAAACTTTGGAGTCCTGATTCCTCCCCTTCTCTCATCTAGTGGAGGTGTAAGACACAGACATGATTCAAAAATGGAGTAGAAAGTGCAAGATCAGCTGTGTTCAGAATACATCAGTGTGGAGAGAAGGGACACCTGACCGTGATAGAAGTGGGGAAGCAAACAAGAAAGAACCTGAGCCAAATTCTTAGGGTTGAGGAGGAGGTAGGCAAGGAGAGAAAAAAAGAACATTCTAATAATTGGTGCTGCCAGAGCCAAATCTATCTAATCAAAGCAAAATCTATCTAATCATTATAATGATTATGGCTGCTGAACCCTGTTGAGCATTTACAAGAAACTGGGGATTGCCCAAACACTTTATGAGTTCATTCATTTAGTCCTCAAAAACTCTGAGGTAGGTGGCACTATTATCCCCATTTTGCAGATGATGGAAATGGGGCTCAGGTATAAAGTAACTAGCCCTGGCCGGTTTGGCTCAGCGGTTAGAGCATCGGCCTGTGGTCCAGAGAGGCCCGGGTTCAGTTCCTGCTAAGGGCGCGTACCTTGGTTACTGTTTGTCCCCAGCCCTGGATGGGTCATGCGGGTGGCAACCACTCGATGTGTCCCTTTCACGTGGATGTCTCTCTCTCTTCCCCTCTCTCCATCCCACTCTATCTGAACAAAAATGGAAAAATGTACTCTGGTGAGGATGGATGGATGGATGGATGGATGGATGGATGAATGAATGAATAAATAAATAAATAAAGTAACTGAATGAATGAATGAATGAATGAATGAATGAATAAAGTAACTTGCCCAAGATCACTCAGCTAGCAGTGAGCAGAGGCAGGACTGGAACAAGGAAGGCTTGTCCTTCGGGCTGTGCTCTTGACCACAATGCTAACTGCCCCCCTAAGCACAGAATGAAAGTTAGGAACCAGGGGCCCTTCCCAGCTGTCACCAGTGAGAAGCAGCAGTGAGAATCTATTTCTGAAGCAGCTGACCTGCGGGGTTCAGGAAGACCAGTCAGGAAAAAGCACAAAAAATACAATTGATCACATACACTCTCCCTGCATGACCCAGAAACAGTCAGAGAAGGAAGGTGCAAGAAACTCTTGTGTGAACCTCAAGGAAAAGGAAAAGGTGAAGAATAAAGATGTGGAATCTAATAAACAAAATAATCTAACAAACAAAATAGAAACAGAAGCAGAGATACATAAAACAAACTGACAGCTATCAGAGGAGATGGAATTTGGGGAGCTGGGTAAAAAAGGTAAAGGGACTAAGCAAAAAAAAATAATAATAATAATAATAGCCCCAGCCAGTGTGGCTCAGTTGGTTGAGTACTGTCCGGTACACCCAAAGGTGGCCAGTTTGATTCCCAGTCAGGGCACATGCCTGGATTTCAGGTGTGTACGGGAGGCAACCAATCCATAGTTCTCTCACATCAATGTCTCTCTCCCTCTCCAAAATCAATCAAAACATATTTTAAAAACTAAGTAATAACAACACCTAGACACAGACAACAGTATGGTGATTGCCAGAGGGAAAGAAGGATGGGAGGAGGTGGAAGAGAGGAAAAGGGGAATAAATAAGGACAGAAAAAGACTTTACTTTGGGTGGTGAGCACACAATACAGTGTGCATATGATGCATTACTGAGCTGTACAATTGAAACCTGTGGGTTTTATTGACTATTGTCACCCCAAGAAATTCAATTAAAAAAAAAAAGAAAATTCAGAATCATCTAGGCCAGTAAACAGCAGATGTCCAGATTTCCAAGACAAGTAAAATTTAACCCCAAATTTTGGGAAGTAGGCTAAGAATAGGGCTGCCATCTTTATCTTATCAAATACAGACATTAGCCCTGGCCGATGTGGCTCAGTGGTAAAAGCGTTGGCCTGAGGACCAAAGAGTTGCTGGTTCGGTTCCGGTCAAGGGCACGTACTTTGGTGGTTGTTCACTTTCCCAGCCTGGGTCAGGCTCATGCCAGAGGCAACCAGTTGGTGTGTCTCTATCACATCAATGTTTCTCTCTCTCCCCTCCTTTCCCTCCCTCTCCTTCCCTCCTACTCTGTCTGAAGGTCAATGGAAAAATATCCTCTGTTGAGGGTTAAAAAACAAAAACAAAAACAGATATTAGCATTAACAAGATCCACCAGTTACCCCCATAATTTGATCCATCTATCCACCATTTATTGTGTCCACCTTCCTCTTCACTGCTGCTCCTCATTCTCCCCTGAGGTGCCTCTTCTCCACCAGTCCCTGAAGCCCAATTTCCTCAGGGTTCCACCCTCAGACCCCACCTGGGATCTGACCCACTCCTGGAGACAGGGCCTGCACCACCACCAACTCCCAAACCAGCCAATCAGGGCCCTGGCTGTCCTCCCAAGGTACAGGCCTCCGGGCACACTTCAAAACAAAACCCTCCCTGGCTCTCTCAACCAACAACAAGAAATTAAAGTATGAGTCATCTCTGAGTCAGCAATTTGACAGGAATCTGAGTCATCACCTCCCTCATATTGTCACCACACCACCACTAACCTCCCACCTCTCCCAAATTTTTCACACATACATCCCTTCTTCTGCAGGCCTTTCCTGGGCCTTAGGATATTCCGATCTAGAGATTTCTGGGCAGCTGCTTCCCAGGAACTACATATCCCCCCCAACACACACACATCCAGCCCTATGTAGGTGAGCCCATGAGGTCCCTGTGGTCCAGAGGACTTAGGTGGAAGAATGACTACCTCTTCTAGACCTGGCCCACATACACCTCTCTCCAGCCCTCTATTCTGTGTCTTCTCCATCTACCTCCTGGAACCGGATACCCAGGATGGCCTGAAGAGCCCGGGCTGAGGAGGCAGGGTCGAGTCTAGGTCAGCCAGCCTGGGTTCCCCGAATGACCGCAGGGATGAAAGGCCCTACCTATGCGGACTGCTGCCCCGGACAGGAGCAAAAAATAATGTCTACTGCGTTAAGCTAAAACAAGCAAACAAAAAAAACCCAAACCAACAAAAATAAAACGGGGATAGAAGAAAAAGGCACAATTCTTTAGATAAGGGGACTCGTTTCCAATCAGGTGCCCATCACATCAGCCTGTAAATCAGCATCCACACCAAGCTCTCTCCCGCCACTTCACGGGCTCCTGTCACCTTCGGGGTGAGGTCCAGCTCCCTGAGCACCTGCTGCTGCAGCGTGGGAGACCCCGCTTCCCTCCCCGGGCAGGGGCGTGGGCAGGCGCTCAGGGGACAGAACCGGGCGGCGTGACGGAGAGGAAGACAAGGGCTCAGAAAGGAAAGTGCGGTCTGACTTGCGGCCAGGATTCACGGGGCAGACGCGAAAGGCGTCCCACGCGGAGAAAAGGCCACCAGGGGGACCAAGGCTGAGCGTCCCCGACCCCGACGGGACGGGGGGCGGGGCTGGGGCGGCCCGCCCGCGTCCCCAGGGCCTTTGGGCCGATGAGGAGCGTGCACCTTCCAAAGGCCACGGAAGCCTCCACCGGCTGCTGGCCGGTGAGCACCGGGGTTGAGCGGTTTGGAAAGATGTCTCCGGTGCGGGGCTGAGGAAGCCGCCGGCGTGCGGCCCTCAAAGCCCAGCAGACAGGGCGTCGTGCGGGGCCCGGAAACCAGGCGCGGCGCGTTCTTAAGAAAGTCCCCCACCCCACCCCCACCCGGGCCTCCGCCCTCTCCCCGGGCCAGGCGTGCAGCAGGCGCTCCATAAATGCACGCTGGGGAGAATTACGGGGAACGGCCACCAACTCGCCTCCCGGACTGGAAGGGCTCAGGGCGGGCCGGAGAGGAGGGGACCCGGGCCCGCGCCCCGCCCGCCCGCCCCCGGGGCCCGCCGTCGGGCCGCCGCCTCACCCGGTCTTCTGGAACCGGCAGGCCCCCAGGACCATGAACTTGCAGAAGTGCAGCTGCCCGCAGAGCCCGGTGCAGGTGGCCCTGGCGCCCTGGTGGCCGCGGCACAGGCGCAGCGCCGAGACGGCCAGCACCACCCGCTGGGAGGCGGCGGCCCCGTCCGCCCGCGTCGCCACCGCGAAGTGCCGGCGCTCCCGCAGCAGCCGCTCCAGCGCGCCCGCGCCGCCGCCGTCCCGCAGGCGACGCCGCAGCTCCTCCAGCTCCAGGGCGCCCCCGGCCGCGCACAGCAGCTGGGTCACTTGGGCGACGGACGCGGGCTGGGCCATGGCCACGGCGGCGGCGACGGAGGCGCACTGCCCGTCGGGCCGCCGGCTGGCGGGGTGGATCCCGCGGGGAGGAGACGCCAGCGGGAATCGAAAGCGAAAGCTGCCCAGGCTCGGGGGAAAGCAGAACCTGTGCGGCCTCGCCACGCCCCCGGGCCCGCCGCTGAGCGGGGCTCGGCGCCTGGCGGCTGAGGCGGCCTCGGCGCCCCCGGCGCCCCCGGCGCCCCCGGCCGAGGCGGCCGCCCAGCCCGACCAGGACATCATCTGCGCCGTCGGAAGGCCGCGGGCGTGCCGGCCCCGCAAAGCGGTTCTGGGGCGCTGGGAGGGCGGGCGCCTCGCGGAGCCCTTCACCTCGAGGCCGACGGGGCGTCGCCGGAGCGCGGGCTGCTCCTCGCTGCAGCGGGCGAGCGAGGGCGCGGGAGCAGGGCTGTGCGCGCGGCGCGTGCGTCAGGTGGGCTGCGGCGCCCCCTGGGAAGCGGCCGGAACCGCGCCACGCGCCCGCGCCCCCGACGGCTTCCGTCGACGCGCCCGCGCCCCGCTCCCAGCGCAGCCGACTCCGTCCCCCGAAGCGCGAGGGCGTCGTTAGCGCTGCTTTCGCCTCCTTTTCAACAGGAGGGCGTCCTCTCCCACAACGCCCGTCTCGCTCCCTCGCTGAGGAAACTCGAGGGAGCAGAGTCAGGGGCCGCTCGCAGCCCGGGACGCGCTGCGGAGGGACGTGCGCACTGTTAGAGCCCTGGGGCGAGTCGGGGAAGGGCTGGCCACCTTGTCCGTACGTGTGACCTTTGACCCAGCAATCCTTCGAGAACCTTCTAGAACTAAAAGGAACAGTACCGAGGTCAGGGGCCACTGTTCACGCACGGGCGGTGGGGTGAGGGGAACAAGGGCTGGCCGTCGTCCGCCCGGTGGACCGCGCGCACGACCGTGTGTTACATCGCCTTCCATTGACGGAGAAGCGTCCATGGAACGTTCGATAGGAGCGAGAACGCGGCGGACACGGCGACCGCGGAGCGGAGAGAACGCTGCGTGCGCGTGCGCGTGCGGTGCGCGTGCGCGTGGCAGGGCCTTCGAAGGGCGCGGGGAGGCCGCGGGCGAGGCCCCGCCGTCGGCAGCCGCGTGGGCGGGAGCGCCTGGGGACCGGGAAGGACGAGGAGGGGTGGAAAGATGGTGGCGAGAAGGCAGTCTTGTATCGACGAACATAAAATTCGATTTATACGATTCCTACCAAAAATGTAACAATGCACTGCGTGCGGATGACGAGCCCATAGGAACGTGGAAAGATGAATGTGACTGCATGAGGGGGTGGGATGAGGGGCAACTTTTCTCTTGGAGTTCCTTTTTTTTTTTCTCCAGTGTGCGTGGAACAATTTTCCTGTTCGACCTTTTTATTTCATGTATGTGTAACCATGGACGCAGACGACCGCGCTGGGGGTGGGGGATGGGAGGAGGCTGTCAATGGGGGGGGGGGGACATTCAACAAACAAAAAATTTAAATTAAAAAAAATAAGTTTAATTCCGGGTTTAATATTATTGTACAATAAGATAACAGGTTTGAGAGCGACGAAGTGTGACGCCCGGGAAAGGGCTGGAGCAAGGCCCTCAGAGAGCTGGGCCTTCCATACAAGCAGTGAAACCGGCCCCGACGGTGGAAGGCACGTGTGCAGAGCGCTGTGACTTGCTCGTCTCGCAGCGGCCCACTCAGGTTTTCGTGAAGGACAATGGACGTGGGCTGGAACATCAGGCGTGGGCATCCGGCTTACTCTGGTCGCACCCCTCCTGCCCTGCTCCCCGGCCCGGAAAGCAGACTCACAGCGCCCTTCCTGGGACCTGCACCAGACAGAACAGAACCGGGCTGGGGCTCTTTCACAGCCTCCTCCCAAATAAGTCCCCTTTTGACCTGAGTGTGGGGGTCCCGGGGAAGACTTCCTGAAAAGGCTGGTATTTCTTTATCTCGCCTAGATCAACCCTGATGGCGTCCCTCCTCAGGTTGTTCACCATTCAAATGCTTTAACATCCTGGCTGGTCGAGCCAATGGGTAACAGTAAACGAACCAAAAAGCTTAAAAGTGGGAGCTGAAGAATGAGGTGTCTCCTGGGGCTTTGCAAAGCTCCAGCTTCTTTCCAGGAATCTAGAAAGCCACGCGCATGCCTCCCGGCGGGTTCTCCTCGCCGAGGTAGTTATGTTCTGCAAAGTCACCGTGAGCCTGAATCAGAGAAGAGAAAATCACCGCTCCTGCTGCACGGTTAAGTTCCTGCAAGCCCCTGGTCACATTTTTGGCAATTTGGATTAATCCACAGCCTTGCTCTATGTGTGTTTTTGTTTAAAGACACCGATGTATTTTCTTGATTCATTAACATTGAACTCACAGCCCACATCACTACAGCTCATGTCTGAACAAAGCTTACTTAACATAACAGATTTTCTCCACAGAGCACATCACAGCCTGCTTGCTCTTAGGAACACTGGCCAGCCCTTCAGCACCAAGGCGTGGGGGTCATTTTAAACAGTGAAATCACCAACAAAAAGCACCAGAACGTGGAAAACATGCACTTAATAGACCACAAAAAGAACACTTGTTTACTCTGAGAGCTGAAACAAGAGGCAGTGTGTGTCGCCTCACTATGTGTGTGTCCTTGAATGACCATGAAAGTACCACACAGTGATTTGGAGTTACAAGTAAATTTTAAGTTTATAGGCAAATTTGCAAATATGGAATCTGAATATCGAGGATCGGTTATAAATACTGCCCAGAGTGTGGCCCTTCTTTGGGCTGTCAGACCTCTGCACCATCATCCTCAGGCACTAGCTAAGACCTGCGGGGAGCAGGGGTGGAAGGAAAGCCCCAAGCCCTTCTGACTCTCATTACCTGCTGCTCCTGCGCAATATGGCTCCATAGCAAAGCTTGCAGATGGCCAAACAGGGTAAAAGGGATCCAAAAGCACCTGGGCAGAGCGGTGTCCACGGCACATTCTGTGGCTCAGGTCACAGGAACCTCACAGAGGAAAGAGGACGTATGCATTACTTACCTGGCTGGACTCCAGGCATGTGACAGCACATGACCCCAGACCAGTCTGCAGTGCTGTTGTAATGCTAGCACAGTGCTTTTTTCCTTGACTATCACCCCTCCCATTCTGGCAGAAGACACCCTCTCTTGTTCCTATTGACCTCCTCAGAGTCTAGCCAGTATCTGATATTCAATAAATGTTTGAGAAAGGAATAAAGACAGCAAATGTCACCCATAATCCAACCACCCACATGCAACTGTATTCATCCCTGGGGATTTGCTCTGGACATGTGTAGGGCTAGAAGCCTGCCCCCAAACTTCATCTGGCCTAAGGTAAAGGGATCATTTTAACGATCATAAATGGGCCAATGAGTCTGTAAAGGAGCATATTTCATATGCACTGGTCACCACTGATCTGTTCAGGGGATTCAAAGAAGATAATGTGGTAGTAAGTTTTTTAAACATGGATTTATAAACATGGCTCACTGAGATTATTTGTACATGTATGAGTTGATCCAGTAGTGTTATGGGTTGAATTGTGTCCCCCTCCTCGAAGTTCATATGTTGAAGTCCTAACCCCCAACACCTCAGAATATACTCATATTTGGGTATAGGGTCTTTTAAGAGATAATTAAAATGAGGTCATTACGGTGGGCCTGAATACATTACGACTGGCGTCTTTACAAAAAGGGTATAAATTTGGATACAGACATGTACTGAAGGAAGACAATGTGAGAGACACAGGGAGAAGATGGCCATCTGCAAGTTGAGGAGAGAGGCCTGGAATGGATCCTTCCCTTATGGTCCTCAGACAGAATCAACCCTGCTAACACCTTAGTCTCCAACAAATCTGTTGTTTAAGCCATGCAGGCTGTAATGCTTTGTTATAGCAGCCTTAGCAAACTTATACCAGTAGTTAGCCCCCAAACCAAAGAGAATGGGCACAGCTTTGCCTCCCCTTGGCAAAACCTCAGAAGGGATCAGTGTTTGGAGTAGGATCAAAGTCTTTGCCAACCCCTGGCTAAAGTCCACCTTCACACACCCCACACCCCAGTATTGTAATGGACTTGCTTATTCTCCAGTTTTTTGTGTGTTTTTTTTTTTAACATTTTTTCTTTATTGATTCTAGACAGAGGGGAAGGGAGAGAAAGATGGAAACACCAATGAGAGAGAACATCGATTGGCCGCCTCCTGAATGCCCCCCACTGGGAACTGGGCCCACAACCAGAGCATGTGCCCTGACCAGAGAATCGAACCGGTGACCTCCTGGTACATGGTTCGATGCTCAGCCACTGAGCCACACCGGCCAGGCTCTCCAGTTATTCTTAACTCAGAATTTGGGAGAATTACAATTGGTGGTTATTGCAGACTATTAAAGGCCGTATCCTGGGGGAACCCCTGAACAATTCCTTCCTTGAGCAGCACATTGTCCAGGAATTAAAATAGACCAACAGCACCCATGTAGGGTCCTGCTTCATAGTTCTGAAAATACTGCTGGGGGAAATCAAGTAATTCAGGAAGCACCTTTTTCTTTTCTTTAGGTAGGAAAAATCCTTTCATAATTAGGCAGCACCTAATTAATCTGTCTTGTAGTTTTATACATTAACCATGACTATATTCTATATTAAAGCAAGCACTCCTTTCACAAATCAATTACAATAAAATTTTAAGTTTAGGTTCTAAGTGAGCTATATAATCACACAGTTTAGCTTATTCAAGAAAAACCTATTCTAGCTTTTTTCTTATTGTAAAGAAACTTGAAACATCCATCCTTTTTATAACACTATATTTGATGAGTTTCTACAGATCTTAATAGTTGACAGAAATGGAATTCTAAAATTGTATAAGGGTTCTTTTCCCATTATTCTGCTCTTCTCTTTTACCTTCTCTCCCCAACCCCCTCCCCATCCCACCCCATCCCACTGCCAGAGAGGAAGGGAGAGGGAGGGAGGGAGAGGGATGGGCAGGGAAAGTGGTAGAAAAGGAGGGAGGGAGGGGGGTGGAGAGGCAGAGAGAGAGAGAGAATGAGAATGAGACTTCTTTCTCCTTCCTTATCTGGGCAGATCCATTTACCAGAGCTGAGGGGCAGAAAATGATGGCAGAAGAGGTTGCTGTCCTGCAGGGCCATGTGCAGTGGAAGGGTGCACTAGGCATGGCCTAGCTCTGAGACTTTGGGAACTCGTGTTAGGCTCATATATTCTAACAGTATCACATATCCCTTGTTTGCAGCTGGTTCTTCACTAGAAGGTGGGAAGCTTAGAAGATAAACAGCATTCTTTCTTACATACCCAGACCCAGGGAAAGGACAGATTCAAACTTAAGTGACAGAAATCTTCTGCAAAAAAATATATTTTCAATCCAAAATGGATGCCTATAAATTTTTAGAATACTAATCATTCCTAACGACCACCTATACCTTTTTAATAACAAAGTGTAACACAATTAGACTCAGCAGGTAGAACGCGAAGGGGCGAGGGGGATGTGTTAGGAGGGGTGTAGGGATTGAGCAAAAAAAGAGAAAGAACTTATTGTTGGGGAGGTGGAAGAGGGTATCAGGGGATAAAAGGTGATGGAAAGAAAATAAAAAGAAATTTAAGCCCTGGCTGGTTTGGGTCAGCAGTAGAGCGTCGGCCTGCAGACCAGAGTCCTGGGTTCGGTTCCCACTGGGGGCACGTACCTCGGTTGTGGTTTGTCCCGGGCCCTGGTTGGGGTCGTGTGGGTGGCAATCAGTCGATGTGTCTCTCTCCCATCAATGTTTCTCTCTCTCTCTTCCTCTCTCTCTCCCTCCCGATTGATCTGAAGATAAATGCAAAAATGTCCTCAGGTGAGGATAAAAAAAAAAAAATTTAAAAGAATAGAGGAAAACAATTCACACAAAATAACATGTCTTTAGAGTTAGGCTTTTGATTAAAATCGTAGTCCTACTTAGCAGCAGTGTGAACCTGGAATGTTTACTGTCTCTGGCCTCAGTTTCACCTGCAGGGTGGGGACAGCACCTACCTAGTTGGGATGTGAGGAAGAAATGAAAATATGCCTGTACGCTGTAAGTACTCAAATGGGAAATAAAGACAGTGAGGGTGTCTATTCAAAAGCCTGTCTGCAGCACAGCACCCCATTCTTCCCATTCTAAATGAGGGGTGGGTAACACCCACATTCCACAGTGATGACCTCAGTCTCACAGCCTGGTGGAAAACACAAAGGTCACGCTAAAAGTCTAGGAGTGTAGGTCCTGATAATTAATTGCCAACAGATGAACTAGAGAAAAGGTAAACATCCCTCAGGGATCACAGATGGCATGTGGATTTTTACAGAACAGATTTATTCAGATTTAGTTTTCAATCAGCTGGAATAACCAGGCCAGTAAGAAAGAGGAGATGTGAACGTGCTTTGGGTACCATTCTTGAAACAAATGTGGAGGTGCGTTTAAGTGGTGCACTCTGGACACCTACTCTCTTGCAGGTATTAATACATGAAGAGTAGAGGCCATTGGTCCTTCTGTTGCCTTGGTTTCCATCAATCTGCATTCGGGCTCCTTCTCCGGAGCAGACCCTCCACCCATTTCCTGCCCCTTCCCAGGCTCCTCTTCTGCTCTGAAGTGCTGCCCCAGGTGCTTCTTCCTCCTTGGTCCATGGCTTCTCTCTCCCAGGCCCAATTTCTCACCATGCTCAGCTCATCCCAGACCTGGCTCTCACACCCTTGAAAGCACCATGTCCAAGTTGAACTCATCTCAGTGAACTTGCACTTCCACTCCCGCCTTCCCTAGGCAGCCAGGTCATAGCACACCTTGTTCTCCTGGCCTCTCAGATCTACCATACGTTCCCGCAGGACTGGGACTTTGTCCTGCTCACTCTTGTAGCTCCAGTGCTAGAACAAGGCCTGGAATACTGCAGGTGCTCAGTGTGTGTTTGTGGGGTGCCCAGATTGGGGACAACAAATGCTCTTAAGTGTCCACCAGTAGCACCTGCATGCATGGCCACAGCAGAGTCTCATCCTACCAATTAATTGCCCTTTTGTCTTCTTCCCTCTTTCACCAATGGCTTCCCCAGCAACACATCTAATAAAGTTATATAACACATTACTCTGCACATTTAAATCTTCAGAAATAGTAAGGAGCCTGAGTTTGATGCAGTTTTTCACATACTCCAATAATTCCCCCATGATTTAATAGCAGAAAAAGGAAACAGAAAGTCAGAATTGGATATAGAATTCAAACTTTTTTCTTTCAAAGACACATTTTATACAATTTCCAACATTTATACTTTCAAACAAAATAAGCCAAAAATACACCGAGCGCTAAAATAAATCAAAACAGAAGTAATACAATTTTAATTTCAATATTTTAAAATACAGAAATTGGAAAGTAAGAATACCAAATACAACTTTAAACAAGTTACTTGTCCTCCCTCTAATAACCAATTAAACTATTTAAAGACTTACAAATTTAAAACAGAAGCAAAATAAATACTGTACACTTTCCCTGCCTGCAGGCAAAAGATGGGAAATACTGTTATGAGTCCAAAAAAATGCTCTTTAAAGCTTCAGCATCCCGCTTCCCAGCCACACCCCACTCTGTAGCCACACAGTGTGCTTCTGTATTCAAAGGACACACATGTGCACACACACTGACCCGCCTATACAAAAAGACAAGACACTACTCCGCAGAAACCCCAAAGAAAGGGTACCAGTCACCTTGGACCATGGGCATAAAAATCAGTTAAGGAAAGTCAGTCAAGCTAGCAAAACATTACTACAAAACTAGTAAATACCATAGCCAACAACTGTCCCCTTTTCAAATTTCACAGATTGGAAACCCCTAAAATCAATACTACTCCTCCCCTATCACTTCCCTCTATCCCCTCCAAAAACAAAAAACCAAAAAACAAAAAACACCTGCTGAAGCACTGGCAAAGTTAGACATTTCACAGTAATGTGAAAATTCATATTATATAATCTCTTCAAATGAACCTTTCACCCTCTTTCCACAGCATGAAACTGTTATGGCTTAATTTACATTAAAAGTAGAAAAGTCTTTTCGGAAGGAAACACAGTCTTCGAAGTTGCACATGCATTTCCTGATCAGTGCTATTTCTTACCTAACAACTGCATGACTTGTGTTTGCAGTCAGAAGCTATTTGGGGAAAAATTGAGGTTATAGCTTTTGATTCAGTCTAACCATAAATGTAAGGCCCTTAGTTTGGTTTAAGTTTCTTTTGCAAGATAAAATAACCTTGGGGTTCACTTAGCAAGTGACACCTCAGGTCCCTGACTATAATGTGGAAGTTATATGTATGTATGCATGCTTTGTAAAAATAAAAGGTTACTTATGAATCTTTGAGGAAAGAAATTATTCTAGGCAAGGAATTAACTCATTATATACTCCACTTAATACAGGTAACTATTACCAACCAAAATCTACCACAGAAATATGAGTATGTCTGGGTTACTTTATTCCTGCAAAATATGATATATTCCAGCATTATGATCATTGTTTTGGTGAAACACCTTGGGGGAAAATAGCTGACATTTTGAAAAGAAAAAGGCCAAAATAAAACCGGGTGGAGGCAAGGTTATCTTTATGATTAAGTTCCACTTAGGACGGCTTTCTGAAATAAGAAAAAGTGAGTTCAGAATGTCACAGGTCTTGCATAGGTAAACTGCTTGGAGGTCAAGGGCTACGTGGTAGCCAGGGTTTATTAGTGAAATAGTGCAGAGCAGATCAACTTGTTGGAAGAATCACTGAAAACAGTTCCAAAAGGGCTTTAACAAAAATTTAATGGTGCATGTGTTAAGACAAAGCTTTAGGACACTAGTGAGGGCACCGAGGACGAGAGGGAGACTCTATGGGGTAGAATGCAAGTAAATAAGCATTATTTTCCCCTACCCACTAAAGGGGGAAAAACAGTATAAAAGAGTAAAACCACAGTCTAACATGATAAGCTAATTGCTTTGGAAATAGGCATTTGCTTCTTGACCTTAATTTTAAAAAATTTATGTAAGGGATATAAAATATTTGACTTTTATGTCATGATGCTCACTGAAGGACAAATGAAAGTAAGGGCAAGGTTTTTAGTAAGGCTCCAGTATCAAAATCACTTTAGTCCAACAGCAATACAGTGAGTATATTACTTCTCCTTTCTTTCCACTGGCTTCTAGCAAGCATTTCAATATCACCCGCAACACTACCAGCAGAGGCCGCACAGCGTCAGAGAGGGGCTGTGGTAGGAAGCAAGGTACCAGAGGTCTAGGATTCGCTGTGACCCCAGGCAAATCACTGCCCTATCTGGGTTTCATTTGTCTCCTTTATTTACCAGCAACATGTTTTTCCTAAGGATCTGATGCTCAACCTTCTCAAGATTGCTTTAAAGTCTAGGGCATCCAAAAATAACGAGTAACCTTATCTTCTCTTTTTGGAGGGAGCAATTGGCTTAATATTTAATGAGAAAAATGAGTTTTTGAAAAAATTTCAGATTGACATTAATGAAGCCTTCATCTCAATGTGAAATTGTAAAATGCTGATACACTGCAATTGTTACTTCTGGCAGTGGTACACCAGGCGGAAGTTATTCATGAACTCTTTGGGGAGCAGTCTTGTCACTATAGAAGCATCCTTTAAAAAGCAGAATCTTTCCTTTTGAAGATGTCCCATTATGTTCCTTTCCTACACTACACTGTCTCTCTACCCAACCAGCTGTCATTAGCCAACTCCGAGCTGTCTTTGTTGATTCCCATCTTTGGAACCACCTTATTTTACCCCGTTTCCACAGGTTGTTGCTAAATCCTTTTAATTCCATGACTTATCTTACCTTTGTCTAGTGCCTAGAGAGTAAGCAGACTCTGTGGAGCAGTACCATCCAAATTCCTCTTTGAGAAAAACTTAAAACTATCTTTCAATGACCTTAAGTCATCTTAATGATTACTTGAGAATAAACATTACTTACTTGAGGATAAACATTATCACTCTTATCCATAAACTATTTCACTTTTTCTTTCACTTCAAGCACTAATTTGGATTTTAATTCAGCACCTTGTTAGAGATTCTTCAGGTTTTTTAGGTAGCGTGCTCTGGGCACAGATTTGAAATAAAACTAAATTTTATGAGTAATAACAGTTTTAGTTTAAAAATGCTTGTAAATGTGCACTCATTAATGATCAGTTGCAGCTTAAATTATGATAAATTAACTGCAAGTATGAAGTGTTAAATGCTTTTCTATGTTTTCTTAACTACATTTTTATCCAAACTAACAAATGAGAAAACTAAGACTCAGAAAGAATAAGTGACTTTTTCAAGGTCACACAGCTGATATAAAAAATGGCAGAACGTGGACAAAATGCAGGTCTTCTATTCCCTTCCATGTTAAACCATGATCTTTTATTGCAAACATTAAATTAATTTCTGAAATATTTTTAAAAATTAAAAAATGTTATTTCCACTTCTACATAGTATAGTATATCTCAGTTGAAATGAATGAAGTTATGCTTTTTTAAATAAATGGGCCCTCTTTTGCTTAAGTTTGCTTAGAAGTAAAAATAATACTGCTTATTTCCTGGAGAAGATACCTTCAAGGGCAGAGACCACACTTCAACTTTGTACTTCCCCAAAGTACTAAGTAGTGCTGAGCACACAGTAGGTGTTTGATAAATACCTGCTGATCTCATAAGAATAAATACAGTAGAGTTCATTAAAAAAGCAATAATTGGGATTATTACAAAACAGAACAGTATTCAAGCTAAGTATTTAAGTAGTAATAAAGATGGGTTTGTTTTCTCTCTGAGCTTATAAGATGATTTCAGTCAGAATTTTCAGTTTTGTATGCTTTAAAAATTAACTGATGCTTATAAAAGTTCAATGCGTTTCTAGAATACCAAACTATTATAAATGCCAGCTTTGTACTGTTTACTCACTAATCAATACTGGAGAGCACTATATTATGTTACATTATGAATTACAGTACAGTGAATACTAGGTTAACAGAAGTTACTTATTTGAATCAATATAGGAAACTCATCTACTACTACAATTAAAATTGCATACGTTGAATCATAATTCTGCTTTACATATTTGTGTTCGCCTATAACTAGCTACCTGCCACCACTGCTGTCTTCCTACGCTGCAGTATCTGTGCAGTAATATTGTTTATAAACTAGAGAGAGGGAAAGACAAAGGTTGTCTAGTACAGCTGAGTCCAGATACTGGCTGCAGTCATTTGCCTGAGATAAAGGGGCTGCATCAGAGCCAGTAACTTTATAAGACTGGGGAAGTCACTGGGTCAGTGGCTGAATTGGTACCAATTCAAAAGAAGATACATGTGTTCTGTTTTAGTGGTTATATTTATTACCTCACTGAAAGTTTTGGTGTGTTTTTTTTTAACATAGCCAGTTAATGGGCTAAAATCGCCAGAAATGATTCCACAGTACCTTCACTTAAAAGTTCCACATACTGTCTACTTAAAATTAGTATTTACCAGCCTATGTACACAGGGTGGATACTGGCCACAATTTTAATTCATAAAAAATAAATAGGTTTATTTTAATTTGTATAGCTAAAGAAAAAAACTCAGGTAATTAAAAACACTTAGAGCTGTGAAAATGTAAAGAAAACAAAAAAAGAACCCAGATTATGATGTAATGGAAAAATAATTATAGCTCTTATATCTTAAACCCAAACAAAAACATGTTCTAAAAACATTAATATGGTGTCTAGAGAAAACCAAAACACCACAGTAATATATTGTGTAGGGAAGACGGCAGAATCTGTCACACCAAGATTTTTACATTTTGAGAACCAATCACCCATCATACGACTGACGGCGCCCATCTCCTAACTAGTTTTGGCATCGTGTAGAGAGTTTTAAGTAGGACACTTATAGACATTTAGTATTTCCATAAAATTCCTCCTGACACCAGATATGATCCAGACTTTCATCCAGTCACTTGGACCAAAAAGGCTAATTCATAAGCTATTTCACATTAACTCCATGAAATATTGGAATAGAGACAGAGTAAGAAACATCTCTTTGAAAATACACACTTGAATGCAATCATGAAAGATGATGGCATAGCTTTTTTTTTCTTAGCACTACACATGATACTTAATATAGAAGGGAGTCCTGCTACCTTGTTGAGTAAAAATAAAAATAAAAAAAAGGCTATCCATAATATGGCCATATTTCTTCTCCATAAAAATAAATTTGATCTTATTCACTGTATTTTCTTTGTAGGAACTTGTAAAATGCTCTCCTGTCAGAATTGGAAATATCCCTTCCCCCAAAACCACTTATTTTTAAGCCATGGGAGAAAAAAAAGAAAAAATATTAGCTATTATTAGCAACTGGCATTTAGTAAAAATTGTGCATAAAAGAGATACATGATTACTTTAAAGCTCAATCAGATACTTAACCTCAATATGCACTGGCTAAGGTAGGACAGATGGAAGAAACTGCAAGAAGCACCCCTTTTACTCCAAATCCATGTCTTAAATAATTCTTTAGAAGGTTAAGAAATAACAAAACAAAACACACACACACACACACACACTGCAAAAGATCTACTCCAACATGCTTGCTTCTACACAATTAATATAGTATAGTCCTATTATATTACGGCTTATTATGCAGAGTTGAACAGACTAAGTCAAATCTTATTTTCCAACAAACTGGGTACACAGAATAAAAGCGTCATAAAATATAACCTTTGCGGCAGGTGTTTGTCCTACATGCCAACACCAGCAGTATGAAGAAGGCCCTCTGTAGTTACAAATGCATTTGAAAAACTAGAAATATGACAATTTAACCAAACTTATAATACTTTTCCCATAAATAGGAAAAAGATATTAAAGCTGTTCTCTTTGGGACCCAGGTCATCAGCAAAAATGAAAATGCAAGAAGCCTTTCATATTTATAAGAAAATCGCAATGTCAAACGAAATGGGAAATGTGGGGTCTTTTACGTAGTTCTAACACATTGGCTATGAAAATGTTTCCCTGCAAAGAGAAGATTCTTGTTGTGTCGTCACAAATGTCAGAGTGCAGAGGGGGGTGGGATATAAGGTCATCAACCTGGATAACAGTATGCACCTTGGATGTTAGCAAAAGCGAAGCTAATAGCTTATAAAAAACATGAAATATATAAAATAAAATGATTTTCATATACATCTTAATTTAAAATAATTAATGCATCAAATCCCTGTTTAAGACTTTAACCTGAATATCAAATTTAAGAGTCCAGACTAGTTACTGTTACTGTGGCTCTTTCCCCACATGTAACACACACACTATCAAAAATAATTTAAAAACCTTCACATTCTTAAATCTAAATTAATGAGATATTTCTCCAGAAATCTTCCAAATAAATAGCTTTAAAAAAGAAAGAATTTAAAAGCTGTTAACTTTTTTTAAAAAAAAATCTGTTAAATAAATTATTGATAATTCTTTACCCTACCACTGAAAATAAATCAAGACACTACCAATAAAATGAAATTCAAGCCCTGACAAGAGACCCTTTTCAGTTCAAGGTCTCCTTTTAAGGTTCTACCCTCCTTCTTCCTCTCCCCCACCAGGTCCAAAATGGTTATTGCTGAGTGGGTGTGGCACAGTGAAAATGCAGCATCAGGTTCGTGTTGTTCTCCAGGCAGTTCACGTTGTTCTCCGCTGGACATGCACGGCGGGCCCCGGGCTCCCCCACCCCGAGACTGGTCTCCAAAGGTAAGAGTGGCCCCAAAGCAGCTCCGTCACACAAAAAAACGTGCATGGCCATTTCTGTTCAACTTAAGGATCTTCCCAAGACGCTGTTTGGCCGTCGCCATTCCCTTTTTTGGACGTTTACCTATAAAATACCAAGAGCAGTGTAAATAATGATGAAAATCATACTTGGCACCTAGGACCTGGAAGACTCAAAGGGAGGACTCTGGTGAGCAAGCCTTTCAGGTGTTCTGAATGTGCAGTCACAATCTTGGAATTCCGCTGTTTCAACCATGCCATCTCCCACGTGAGGGACACAGGACACCGTGGCCCTCACACAGTCTGACCCCACCCGCCTCTTCAGCATGAGCTCTCACCATATTCTGCAGCAAACTGCTTGGGCAGCAAAGCGGACTGAAGTGCTATTTCTCACCTTTGGACCGTGGGCCACAGTATCTCCTTTCCTTCTTACCATCTTTCTCAGGATCTACCTCCACCTCCCAAAGGCCACTCCTGATCCTCAGGGGTGACTCAGTGTCCTGCTGTTCCCACAGTAATTCGTGCGCAGTGCTATCCCTGTGGCATCCACGGTGCATCAGGCTGTGGGCAACCTGAGTGCAGATACCACCTCTATCTGCACTGCCACTCTTCACCATCACACAGTCAGAAACATACTTAACCTACGAACATGCAAAAGTTACCTTTTGTTGCCTGGTTGCTGATAGGTGGTGGGTTTGATGCAGGTCTCTTAGTGGGGTGCAGGGGCACTGAAAAGGAAGTTTCACCAACTGGCCTTTCCGGGCTTGCACTGCCATTCCTTATCTGGCATGCTCCCGAAACCAAGCTTGAGTTCTGCGTGTACTTTCCATTCTGAGGGCTTGAGCCACTGCTGTCCACAGAATTCCTGCTTTGTACCTTTTGACTGATTTCCGATGAACCTTCCTTTTTGATGCATTTATGGCCTCTACTTAGATCCTAAAGAACAAAAATAAGGCTGAATTATTAGGGTACCTTTAAGATAAGTGAAGTATTCAACCTCTCTATACATTAGCAAGCCGAGAGAGAAGAAACAGATAACTGAACTTTGGTTTTTATTTTTTTTATTTTGGTACATGCCCCTAGCAGGAACCGAACCTGGGACTCTCTGGTCCGCAGGCCGATGCTCCAACCGCTGAACCAAACCGGCCAGGGCTGGTTTTTCTTAACATGTAGTAACCACAGGAGACTACCCTTCAAGATGGCCATCTCATTCCAAAACCTAAAAGCGCTGAAGGATTCCAGTCTTGAAGCTGCATCATAATTTAAGAAGCAATATATATGGATGGGGTGGGGGTGGGGATTAACAGAGAGGAAAGAGAAGAAGAGAGAGAAAACAAGAACATAATTTCAACAAGCCATCAACTCAGTGGACATGTGCTATGACAGGAAGCCGAGATGGGGGATGTGGACCTCCTGCGTCCTCAGCACGTCCCAGGTTCCACACATCTCCATGATGTAAGGTGCTCTCTTTTTCAAAACATATTTCTGTAATGTTCATCTCTTCTGTATTTAAGTTGGTTACTAAACACACACACACACACCCTCTAGATCCTGAGCCTTGCGTCTAGTTTTTCTATAACAACTCTTCCTTCAGTCTCTTAAGATTATTTAGTGACCTGTCAGGAAAAAAAACAAATAAACCATGCTACTGATTGGTGGGTCTTACAATCAACAGAGAGGGCCGTGACCAGAATTAAACAGAGAAAGGAAAAGACAAACTGGAAAAGAAAGAGCATACTTGCAGATGTGATGTTTCACAAAACTAGTCTTAATTATGTGTGTGATATAAAATGTATCGCTGATCCTTTTTTTTAACCTTACTTTCTGTATGTCTCTGATTCTGTATGGTCAAATAAGTTTAAAATCAGCATTAAACCCAGACTTTCTTTAAATTATCTTAAAAATATGCTTGAGCATGACATGCCTCTATAATCTCTCTCTTGATTATAAGCAAAATAATTTAATTGTCTCTAAGGTGATCATGCTAATCACCTATCCTCTACTCTTTATTTTCTTTTCTTTTCTTTTTTTTTATCCTCACCCGAGGACATTTTTCCATTTTTTACTCAGATAGAGCGGGAAAGAGAGAGAGGAAGAGAGAGAAACATCGATATGAAAGGGACACATCGAGTGGCCGCCACCCACCCAACCCAACCAGGGCCGGGGACAAACTGCAGCCAAGGTACATGCCCTTAGCGGGAACCGAACCCGGGTCTCTGTGGACCGCAGGCTGACACTCTAACCGCTGAGCCAAACCGGGCAGGGCTCTACTCTTTATTTTTAAGACAACTATAAAAACAACAGTTAGAGTTAAATAACAGCTTGCTTTAAGACTGAATCCTATAGTAAAGTTATAAATTTCATGACCAGCTACACTGAGGCACTATAAAATCATACATTGAATAAGTGAATTATAACAGTTAAGGATTTCATACTTGACCTTTGATTCTGGAGCAAATTCTTCTATTAAAAGAACTTGTAGAGGCGATTGGCGTTTTTTTCTTGTAAAAGCAATTGGTGAGTATTTAGAAAATTGAGAAGCCAAATGAAGAAAATAAAAATCCATAAATCTACTACTCAGAATATGCTTGGGGTCTAAGAGGTTTAGGGACCCCTGAGAATTTTGATTCTTTCTTTGGCTGTCATTTTCCAAGGTTTGCAGCAAAAGGTCATACTGCTTTCCTTGCTTGGTACAATTGGTAAAAATTTTGTGTTTTTAAAAAGCTATTTTTTGCTCCGGCCGGTTTGGCTCAGAAGTTGAACCACTGGCCTGGGGATCGAAGAGTCTCGGGTTTGATTCCGGTCAAGGGCATGTACTTCGGTTGCAGTTTGGTCCCCGGCCCTGGTCAGGGTCGAGGCAACCAGTCTATGTGTCTCTCTCACATCAATGTTTCTCTCTCCCTCCCTCCCTCCCACTCTGAAGATAAGTGGAAAAATATCGTAGGCTGAGGAGTTTTTTAAAAAAGCTATTCGGGGTCCTGGCTGGTGTGGCTCAGTTAGTTGAGCATAATCCCATGCACCAAAAGGTCACCAGTTCCATTCCCAGCTGGGGCTGTGGACTCAATCCCCAGTAGGAGGCATGCAGGATGTGACTGGTAGTTCTCTCTCACATCGATGTTTCCCCCGCCCCCTTCCATTCCTCTCTCTGAAATCAATGAAAACTTTTTTTTTTTAAAGCTACTTTGGGTTCATGTTGTTTGGTATGAGCGTTAATATGCTGGAATCCTAAGGAATGAAGTATACTTTCTTAGAGCAGGGGTTCTTAATTTGGAGTCACTGAGTGGTCTGGGATGGGGGTGGGGCACAAATAATAAGAAAAAGTAAGCAAGTCAGTATTTATCATAACCATCTAAAAATGTTCAAGCAGCAATGTCAGAGATTAACAAGAGATCCTCTTGTACTTTCCTTTCATGTTTCATTCTAACTGGACATAACCTAAAGGAGTTGGCAGCCAATATTTTTTAACTACTTCCTTGAATAAACTATTCTTTTCCAGATCACAGTACTGTATATCCATGAGCTTTGAATTAGTCATTATATCAGAATCTCTAAATATGGATAGTTGTTCAAATGTTCATTTAATTGTAATGTTTTACCTTCCCAGATCTAGTGGTTGATGACTAGTAGCAGTTTTTTAAAAAGAAAGAAAGCAAAAACAAAGTTAATGATAATTCTAAATCTCCTTTTAATATTTCAAACTTTGAATATACCTGAAGATTAAATCTGGAAGCTGTATCGAATTGTTTAATCCAGGAAGAGCTCCTCAGGTCCTGATCTTCAGTCTTGACATGGTATCCTAAAGAGAAGTTTTAATTACATTATCTTCACACCAACTTGATCTTAAAGAACAAACTTAGCCAAATGCTTAAAACTGAAAGCAAATTTGTGTTGGCATTTTATTAACAACTGAATATGTTAATTCTTTAACTATTTATTCATATATGTTACCATTTCTTTCCCTCTCAAAAACGAAACAGTCACCAGCTCACTGTCTAACATGCTAATGCTTTCAACCCTCTCAAAGGCTGTCATTATATGACAGGTTTTGTGCCAGATGCTGGAAGATCTAGAATAAAATCCTAGAGCCATCTGTTGTAGATGTAAAACCAAAGGTAATACATACGCTCTAAAAATGATATCTTTTTCCATATAGAATAAATATGTTTGCCTGAATTTTGCAGTATTTATACAGAAGCTTTCTTTTCAAGGGACCAGATTATAGCGAGACAGAATGGTATAATGGATGAACAGACAAACGGATTTGAATTTGAGTTCCTCCATTACCCATGCATCTTTAGGAAAGTTATTTGATCTCTCTAAACCTCAGTTTTTCCCTTAGATAATAAGCAAAGGGATCAAACGGTCCTGGGTTCAAATTACACCACCAGTGAATACTAATTATGTAAGTTAAATTCACTTCATTAAGTCTATTTCCTTTACCTGTAAAGTTTTATCACTTACAACAAAATGTTGTTTCAAGAATTATGTGAAATGGGTGTCAAACTCCTGGTACATAGTGGACATTTAACTACATGAGAACAAACACAATTGCTATAATAAGTATTTGGTTTCAACATAATACCAGCTTCTCCCCAATCCTCCTCAGTCGTTCAGGGAGACAAAATCCCCCTACAGGCAGAGGGAAGGAAGCTCTCTGTGGTGCGGCATCACAGATGCTGCCATCCTCCTCTCCTTTCTGATCCTTTCTGATCCTTTTCAGGACGGAAAGGGAATCACCCCAGTCAGAAAGTTCAAAACTTGCTTTCCCTCCCATAAAAGAAAAAAAGGGTGATTGTTCAAGCTTAGCAGACCATGTAAAGCACCAAACATTCCTTCCACTCTGATCAATTCACAAAAGGGAAAGAACACTATCGTTCAACAGCAATGATAAAATTATGCTTGTGAGCATGATTCTCAATCCCAGTTCATTTACATTTTGAGTTCTATTTGCATCTTACGTAATTTGTCAATATTACATATTTTTTGGCCAATATGTTTAGCACCATTTCCAACTAAAAATGTGCAATAGCCCTGGCCGGTTTGGCTCAGAGGTTAGAGTGCCGGCCTGTGGACCAGAGAGTCCCAGGTTCGGTTCCCACTATGGGCACGTATTTCGGTTGCAGTTTGTCCCCAGCCCCAGTTGGGGTCGTGTGGGTGGCAGCCACCTGATGTGTCTCTCTCGTGTCGATGTTTCTCTCTCTCTCTCTTCCTCCCCCTCTCCTTCCCGCTCTATCTGAAGATAAATGCAAAAATATCCTCAGGTGAGGATAAAAAAAAATTATAAAAATATGCAATAAACAGCTCTTATTTATAATCTCTAACCTCATAGGATTATAGAGCTATTAAACCGAGGGTCATGGGTTATTTTTTAGAGACTGATCATGTATGTTTCTTACCACATTCCACTGGTTTATCATAGCGATACAGCTGCCTAACCTCGTGGTTACTGCTGTGGCAGCTGCTGGGATCCTGGAGAGAGTTTCTTCCACTGCTGCAGCCTGTGCTCTGTACCTGCCTTTGTAAACACGTGGAATAGTGCAAGCCTGCCATGGACAGCATGCCCTGAATAGCTTCTTCCTCTGTGCTCGTCGAGGTAGGACATTCCCTAAAAAAAAGATAACCAAAAAGACAAGAGTCTATTAATGGCATTCTGGTAAAATTTTAAACTAAAAAAAAATATTTTCCTATCCTTTATATCACAATGTCATGAGACTACTACGACAAGCAAACCTACCTTTTAACTAGAATCTCACTTCTAGATGTCTTCCGGTTCTTTTGAAGTAAGTTCCTCGTCACATTAGATTCCGCCTTAAAGTTTGATGTTATTTTTTGTTTCTTTTCATCTCCTGAACTTTCTGACTCTTCAGTGGTGAAATTATTTTTCTGAGATAATAAATAATTAAATGAAAGCAAAGCTATTAAGAAATCTGACCAAGTCTATACAAACTAACAAAAAATACTATCTGCCTAGGGAAAGTTAGAATCTCAAGTAACATGAAATTATTTCTGTATTTCATATGAAAAAGTGAAAATCTCTAGTTAACTATAGTAACGTAATTATGTAGTAAAAAATATGCAGTACAGGTTTTCTTTAAGGTGCAATGAAATATAACCTATGAGAAATATGAGAAGAAGAACAGTATCTCCCTCCACCATTTCCAAAACAAGTCAAAGCTACATTTAACACATGGGTGTGTGGGTGTGTGAATGTGTGTGCGTGTGTGTGTGTGAATGTGATTATCACCAGAGGGAAAGACACTGCTACAAAGGTCAGAGAGACAGGTGAAGAAAGTGGGTGTTTTTACATCAAATAGCACCCCAGTCACAGGCTTTGGGCATACCAGTGCAGTGCAATCAGGTCCAGAGTCTTCCGAATCAGAAATATCAGAATATTCTGATGATCGATTCCTGAGTTCTGATTTCACACTTGTAAAAAACCCTGAGAAGGGGAAGGAGGCAAAGAGAAAATTGTGAACAGGGTGCTATCTACAGTCCGTCCAGCTTCACCACGTCTCCGTCACTCCTGTTCTATCCTCTTTTCTGCTTTTACCTCCTCCTTCTTTCTTCCCCCAGGACTTTCTCCCCAGCTGACCAAAATGCAGATTGAAGTGTATTCTAGAAACACTTTTGGAATTTACTGAACATAATCATAAATTCCTTAATTGAAAATTTTAAAAATATTTCTTTCCAGAAAAAAGCCTCCAACACTAACATGAGCTACAAGAAGCTGTTCAAGTTCCCTTTTGCATTATTTCTCTCAACGGATAACAAAAGATAATTCTCCTAACCCAGAAAGCATTCAAGTAGACAGCGAGTCCAACAGCTCCTACGCTGGCCTCCGCACCACCGCTCCTTGCCTCCCTCCCTGGGGCACGGCCACAGAGCACACGTTTGATGAGCCCAGGGAGTGGCTGCCTTCCCCCAGCACGTGAACACACACAGTTACCAATGACAGTAAATCACATTTACCTGAAATTAGCAGGGATTAAGGTAATTAAGGTATTCAACATGAATTAAATAATGTTAATTATCTGGAACATTTACATGTCAAATACCAAAATATTTAACTACTTCTAATAAATTGAAGATCTCCAGAAGGAGAAGTGTTGCTCTTTGTCACACTGATGATAACTGATTAATAACCAAGTAGAGGTCCTCTTGTCAACAGGTAACCAAGAAAAAAAATACATGGATTACTAATAGCTTCAGGTCAGCCAACTATATATGTCTCCTAATTCTGAAAACCATACACGTTAGCTAAAATTATTTATGAAATCGCATTAAACTTGGAACTATTTTATTATTTAGAGGCCCATAAAAATGCCTGAGCTTTCATGTGACTCTTGTAAAAACTGTCACTAGACAAGCGCATCACTGACTTGCACACGTCCTCATTATTAATAATGCCTCCCCTGGGCTCTACACGCCTCTGGTCATTCGCATTCAGTATTTCCCTAACGGATGAACTACTCTGAAATACTCCAGATTCCTCTAAAGAGTATCAGAAACGAAAACATTTTCAACCCCAGTACAAATATAAAAAATTTAAAGTTAGCAAGTTACTGCACATATTATCATATTAGTAATAAAGAGATCTTTACAATGACCATTAAAGCAAACATACTGTTAAGTGGTTTTTGAGATTCTTCATTCTCCCCAGCTTCTATTCCTGAACTCTCTTCTATCTTCATTTTTGTCTTTTTTGTCCTTCTCTTATCCTCTTCATTTTCACTGTCTACTGTATAAAGACTCTGATCTGCGAAGAGCTGTCTCTCGTCTCTGTACATAGAGGGAAAAATTAGTCAGAAAGCAGTGCCATGTGTGCAGCCAAACAGTGCCCTCCGCGCCTTCGCTTACGGAGGGCATGGGGAGCGGAGCCACTTGTCCCGTTTCAGTCAGCTGAGCAGCAGTACGGACTGGAGAGTCAGTAAACCAGGGGTGGGGAATGTTTTTCTGCCAAGGGCCATTTGGATATTTATAACATCATTCATGGGCCATACAAAATTACAACTTAAAAAGTAGCCTGCTATGTTTGGTCAGGCTAATTTGGTGAGGTTTGTGAGGTTCGCTGGTATTGATGTCATAGGCCTTATACAGCCTACAGGCTGGATATTTTTGACCCTGCCAGAGGGACTCCCCTGGAAGCTACTCAGCTGGATACTTTGACTAGGTTTACATACTTAATTATTCTTCCATTTGTCAGCAGTAATCGTAGATCGTTATCTTTCGCTCTCCACTCAGGTACGGTAGAAGATGGCTGGAGATGTTTGTTGAATTTGCCATTCAGTTTAGAGCTCAAGATGTCCTTAAAATATAAAAACAGAACTTACTTGATCTCTGCCTTCAGATGTACCTTCTTGACTAAAGGAAGACAGTGTACCATGACCTCCCCACTTGGCCTTGCATCTCAAACTGGGCTAGGGAGCCATTCAGGCCAGGGACAAAGGTGATGTGTTACTAAAGCCAAATGGTTCCTAAAGCCAAAGCAGGAATGGCCCTCTGTAGGGCCATTGACAGTAACGCACATTCTTAAAGTAAGATGTAAAACTGTATAAAGTAAGCCTCGACACGTGGATCAGCTGGTTGGAGCGTCATTCCATGTAACAATAAGGTCTTGGGTTCAATTCCCAGGCAGGGCACATACCTAGGTTGTGGTTTCCAACCGCAATTGGGTTGCATACAGGAGGCAACTGATGGACGTTTTTTTTTTTCTCTCTCTCTAAAAGTCAATAAACATATCCTCAGGTGAGGATTAAAGAGGAACTCACATAAAGCAAATTTAAAGCTATTTCACTCCTGCAGAAAGCTGGAAAGCTGGAGAAGCACTGCCTTCTCTTTGTCTGGTTTCTTGCTGCCAAAGTAGTTACCCTACCTTTGACCTAATCCCCCATCTACCACCAGGCACTGGCAGTAGCTCACCACACTGCTATCACCGGGAACAAAGGCCACCAGGCAACATAAGGCACACAGTAGGTGGTTTTTAATACATAAAGAATAATTCCTTTCTGTGGCAATTTCTTCTTTATTAATAAATAGAACCTTTTATAATGTGTTCAATCATCTCCCAGATGGCTATGGGTTAAGGGGGTTTAGAACAACAATAAAACCTTAAAACAGTATAAATACAGTTATACCATTTAAAATACTAAAGAAAGTTAAAATTTCTATATAACTTTAAAAATGTTTTAATTCAGAGATACCTCTATTTTGTTCATTTTAAATTGCTGCCTGTCCTCTACTTAAGATGTAAAATGACGGACGACACAGATCTCACGGCAAACGCATCACCATGTCTCACAAGCCCTGCACTGATCAGATTACTGCCCCTTGTCCATTAGGCCAGCATTTCTCAAACTTTCATGGGTTTATTCTAACAGTCACCCATGCTGGTGCTGTTGGGCCAGGGTAGGCTTTTTACACTTGCTCTTGCCTGTCAGCAATACTCTTCCTCAGACCTGCGTGGCCATCTGACTTCTTCCCATTACTTAAGTGTCAGTTCACATGTCACCGCCTGAGGCTCGCTGACCACCCTAGCTAAAGTAGCTGGCCACCCCAATCCCCTTTATTCTATCTCTAGTATGTCTAGCTCCCTTTATAATGCTTATTATTTTCAATTATATTATTTTAACACACGTCTGTCTCCCATCCTTCCGACCTGAGCTAGGGTGGAAGCTACATGAGGGCAGAGACCTAAGTTTTGCTCACTCTGGTATCTTCTCTAGAGCCTGTAAGAGCATGGCCTCGGTAAACGCTCAGTAAACGCGTCAGCGAATAAATGAGGTACAGTCGTCCTACGTCTGCGCTGATGCTTGAAAGCTGAAGCACTGTCCCCTGCTGTCCCGGCACGGCAATAAGCACTGCTGACCCTGACAGTGCTAACGGAAGATGAGATAACGAGAACGGTCAGACTGTTCTCCTTCCAGTACCCTTTTAAAGAACTTTAAGGAACAACCAAGTCACTCTTTGTAATCATGAAACATAATACTTGCCTCTTCCCATGGACACATCTCTAATCTTCTGAGGACCTCCCTCGTGTGGAGCTCTAGGATGTCCAGGTTAGAAGGAGTTCGGACACTGTGATCTCGAAGTTTCCTCATCTTTCGTCGGGAATGGTATGGGGAAGTTGCTTCATTTGAGGATCGTGAAACTGGACACACAGTAGGAATTCCCTGAGATTTAACTGGCTTGCCGTTTTCCTCCTTTAAGAATTCAATTCAAAGTATTTTTATAACAAGGCTACATAAATACCTAAGTAATCAGCCATAAAAATATTTTAGGAAACAAAAACCATTCAATTTAATTATATAAGCAAAAAGACCAAATCATAAGATAAAGCTTTGCTGAGACCTTTATTTTCTTCTCTCCCTCACGTAATAATATACCGTGAACATATTTCCTGGATCTTCAATATCATTCTAAAGTCTGTGTAGTACTCCAGCATATACTTAGAGCATGATTTATTGACTTAGAAGTTACTGGTTAGGCTGCTTCCAATTCTTTCCTATGATGTACATTCTTTCACATACGTAGTTGCATAACTCAATAACTGCTTTCTAAAGCAAAGTCACCCACCTATGTCATTTTGAGAAATTAAAATTCTATAAGCATATCATGAAAAGTAGCAATCTCTGGATTGCTGATTCCAATCTCTGGAGGTAACCACTTGCAACTTTTTTAAAAATCGTAGTAACGTACATATAATTTTGTGCCACATAACGTATGTGGTAACAGATACATAATTTATCATTATAACCTTATCGGTGGCATTAAGTACATTTCACACTGTTGTCCAACCGTCACCACCACCTATCTCCAGAACTTTAAAATGTTCCCAAACTGAAACTCTGTACCCATTAAACAACAATTTCCCATTCCACCTTACCCCGGCCCTTGCAACCACCATTCTCTTCTCTGTCTCTATGAATTTGACTACTTTAGGAACCGCATATAAGTGGAACCACACAATATTTGTCCCTTTGTGACTGTTTTATTCCACTTAACATAATGTCTTCAAGGTTCAGCCATGTTGTGTGAAAATTTCCTTCTTTTATAGGGTGAATGATATTCCACTGTATATACAGGCCACATTCTGTTTACCCTTCTCCAGTGACAGACACTTGGGTTGCTCCCACTTTCTGACTGCTGTGAATACTGCTGTTATGAACATTCATCTGCTTATCAGCTTGAGTCTCTGCTTTCAACGCTTTGGGGTATATACCTAGTACCTGCGACTCCTGTAGCTGTTTTTGTTGTTAGGCTTTTTTCTTTCAGTTATTTGCCTCCAAATTTCTAAAAAACATGTTTATACTATTATTTCTTGTTTTTGTTATTTTACCTGTAGCTATACCACTGAATTCCTATTAGGTAAGATGAAATTTTAATCCTGGCATCCTCTCCTAAATGTACCATACTTCTCCTTCCTTCAACATTCAGTATTTATTTTTGTTTGTTTGTTTGTTTAAAAAATTACTTTCATTAGCTTCTTGCTCTTCTATAAACACTCAGTATTTAAATTGAACTCAGTAAAAATATTTATAACCCAGTGCCACATAACGCACTACTTTATTACATTTCCTTTCCTTTCCATCCTTTGCTCTTTCCCGAGTTTATAACTGCCTCACTTTCCCTCAGCTTGTTTTCTATGTACCTATCACTAAATAATCCCAAAATTCTCCACTGGAAGAATGCAAACATCCAAACACATTAGGTAATTACTCAAATTTATATTTTTCTTTGGAGACACCCCTCCTGGATAGGATGGCCAGATAAAGTATGAGACATCAGTTAAGTCTGGATTTCAGATAAACAACAAATATGGAGCCTTTCATTCTCCTGATCCACCCTGGACAGGTTGCCCTCTGGGCCTGCTCATGTCATCACTGACCTTTCCTGACCCGTTCCCAATCCACTACATAAAACTGCAACACCCACCACCTCAGGCTGTCACTCCCTGTCCTTTCTCCCTCCTTTATTTTTCTTCATAGCACTTGTCAATTCCTGATATCCTAAAATATGTACGGCCAGCCTCTTACTACTAAGGTCCATGGGCAGGACCTTTGTTCACTGCTCTGTGTCCAGCCTAGATGGTACAGAGCATGCAGCAGATACTCAGTACTTGTTGAAAGAATGAATTCCAGGGAACCTTCTTTTTTGGTTTATTCTTCTTTCTTGGAACAGCACATTCTCTTAGTTTTCTGAGAAAGGGCTCATAGCAGGTACGGTTTTTGAGAAATTGCCTATTTGACATCTTTATTTTACCATCATATTTGATCTATAGCTGGGCTGAATATAGATTGTATGCTGGCATCCCCCAACCCCAGGATGTTAAGGACTTTGCTCCACTGTCTTCTAGTTTGCAGTGTTATTATTCAGAAATTTTATATTACTCTGATTCCCAATTCTTTGTACATGACCCATACTATCTTCCCTAATGCTTTTTTGGGTGTACTTTGTTACATATATCATGTGTCTTGCCTTAGGTCTTCTTCACCCCCTGTACTGGGCATTTTGAAGGGCTATCAATCTGGGCAGATGAATCCTTGAATTTCAAAACTTCATTTGATTATTCCTCTGGTAATCTTGTTTTCTCTATTATCTCTTTCTAGAGCTCCTATTATTTTGATGATGACTGTATAAAATGACCTTCTAATTTTTCTGTCCTATTTGTCTTTTTTTTTTTTTTTTTTTAACTTTATGGGAGATTTTCCCAACTTTATCTTCCAACCATTCTACTAAATGTTGTTTCTATTCGTTTCTAACTTCCAAGAACTCTTGTTCTTTCTTCTTTGTTCCTTTGTTACACCCTCTAGTCCTTTTTTCATAGAACCAATATTTACTCTTTTCTCTCCTAAGGATATCAATTATATTTGGATTTTGGGCTGACGACTTATTTATTGATTGTTTCCTTTGAATACTTTTCCTTTTTCTGCTTTATTTTTGGTCTTTGTCTCAAAACTCTTCTCAGCTCTCTATGCATTTTAAAAAGGAAGCATTAAAGAGCTAATGGTTTCAATCAGTGGTGCTAAGAAAACTAGATAAATGTATGGGGGGAAATGTCCTGATTTATCTTAAGCAATACACAAAAATTTAAGACTGGCCATTTACCTAGTTGTAAAAGCTTTTGGAAAAAAGAAAAAAAAAAAAAAAGTATTTTCAATACCTAGAGAACAAAGATTTCTTACAGAGGACACCAAATAACAGTAACTATAAAATGAAAAGTAAAAGAACTAACTATAAACTTCTTCAAAATTAGAAGTTTCTGCTCATGAAAAGATACCATTAAATGAAAAGATAAGCCACAGCCTGTGGGTAAATATTAGTTATTTTATATATACATACATATATATATATATATATATATATATATATATATGCATGCCAGATGACAAAGAACTTGTGTCCAGAATATATAATGCCCTCCTACAAATCAATAATAAAACAACATAATTTTTAAATGGACAAAAACTTCTTAAGAGAAAATATACAAATGCCAGCACACACAAAGGTGCTCATCAGTAATCTTCAGGAAAATGGAAGCTAATACCACAATGAAATAATATTTCATACTCAACAGAATAGCAAAAATTAAGAAGAAAACACCAAATATTGGTGAGGATACAAAATAGCTACAATGCCTACACATTAGTGGTGAGAGTGTAAAAGGGACAACCACTCTGGAAAACTGGCAGGTTCTCACAAAGTTTAAATTTACTTACCCTATGGCTCAACTCTATTCCCAGGTATTCATCCAAGAAAAATAAAACTTATATTTAACACAAAAGACATATAAGAATGTTCATAACAGTTTTATTCATAATGGTCAAATCTGCATATAACACAAACAGCCACCAACAGAAGAAGGACAGACAAAGCGTGGCATACTCATCAGTGGTATAGCACCCAGCAATAAAAAAAGAACTGACACACACAACAGCATGCATGAATCTCAAAAGCATAATGTGAATGAAAGAAGCCAGACACCAAAACAGTACAAACCATATGAGTGCCTGTATCTGAAATTCAAGAACAGACTAATCTATGATAACAACAGAGGCCAGAACAGGGGTGTGGCAGTCAAAGATTGACTAGAAAGGGGCAAGAGTGGACTTTCTGAGGTGATATAAATGATTTCTATCTCGACTAAAGTATTGGTTAACAGGTGTATACATCCGTCAAAACTCAAATTGTTTCCTACGATTGTACATTTCATTGTATATATATAAAAAAAAAGCCAATTGGGAACTCTGTGAGTGGGGCTTTGTTAACTAGTGGGTTTCACCAGTTGTTAGTATCAACAGATCTACTTCTTGGGCTGGGAAGGGTTTTAGGAGCCAAGTGGAATCAGCGGCATTCACTACTATCACTTAATCCTCTGGTTTCAGTATGGCACCCATCTCCCCGCGGGCTCAGTGTTCCACTGTCCACACTCAAATTCAACCTCTCAAACAATTAAACCTTTAGCTTTCTGCATGTATTAAGGCAGGAATTTGGAGATCAATTCATTTGTTAAGTAGACCTTCAATCAATCCTGTTTCAACCCTACCTCCACTATCAAATTCAGAGGGTCCTTCAAATAACTCTAGGATTTTTGAAGATTCAGGACAAATAAGACCTGCTCCTGGTCTTCCCCCACTGCCCACATAGGTTTTAGTTCTCGGTCTGCTAAGTCAGTTAGCACTGGTACTTTTCCATTCCAGCTTCCAAAATTTCGTTGGAATCTTCATCTCTACTCTTCTCTTTGTCTTCGGAGATATCTTTTTTTATTCTTTTACTATCATGTTGGTCCCAAGAGGTGACAGTGGTAAGCACATATGTTTAATCTATCAAGTTTAACTGAAATCCTCTTTTTTATTTTATTAAAGTAAAACTGCTAGGTCAAGGAATATGCCATTTAGAAAGCATAAACTAATTTATACTCCTACCATCAGGGATAGACTATGGAATTTTATTTTTGTCAATTTAATAAATGATCATATGAAATCATAAATTATTTGGCAAAATGTAATTGAATACTTTTTCACATATTGAAGACTATTTTTCATATTTATTGGTCATTCTTTAGTGAAATACCTGTATATTTTCTTTTTTTGGGGGGGGGGGTATGTGCCCCTAGCAGGAACCAAACCCAGGACTCTCTGGTCCGCAGGCCGATGCTCCAACCGCTGAGCCAAACCAGCCAGGGCTGTATATTTTATTTGCACATTTTTCTAAAGGCCATCTTGCTATCCTTCAATTAAAAAAATACTATGGCCCTGACCAGTTTGGCTCAGCAGTTAGAGCATCAGCCTGCGGTCTGGAGAGACCCGGGTTTGGTTCCCGCTAAGGGCATGTACCTCGGTTGCAGTTTGTCCCCGGCCCTGGTTGGGTCATGTGGGTGGCAACCACTCAATGTGTCCCTTTCACGTTGATGTTTCTCTCTCTGTCTCTTCCTCTCTCTCCCTCCCACTCTATCTGAACAAAAAAATGAAAAAAATGTCCTCAGGTGAGAATAAAAAAAAAAAATACTATGTTGACTATTTTAGTCCAATTATTCTTTCAGGTACATTTCATTATTTGAAATTTATAATATTAATTTGAAGTTGATATATTTTAGAAATAACACTCCCATTTATTCAACTATTTTTACTTCCGATAGTAAAGATTTATAGTTTTTCATATAGACCCTCACCTTTCTCATTAAGTTTATTCTTAGGGTTGTTATCATCTACTATGAGATTTATATACTTATACATCTACATATGTAAGATTATATATGTGACTTTTGATTAAAAATCTATGCAATTACTATTGCTCTTTATAATTAAAAAAATTCGAATGTATCTGAACATATTGAGAATTACATGAACTATCCTATCCAAGGATGTTAAACCCACCACTTTAATTTCTTAGATGTGTGCTGCTTTCCATTCCCCAAACACAGACCTAATCTCAGCTGTTAAACGCCCATTAGCCTCCATTCCTCCACTAACTTTCCTTTCAGTTCAAGCCAGACACTAACAGAACCACCTTCTTGAATAATTATTTTAATTAAAACCTCCTTTCTTTAATACCTAAAACACCTCCTAACTGATCATTTAAAACACCTAATTTCAGATTTTGTGGGCTTTTATCAGAGGGTATTTGCCTAACCAACTTGTTCCAGTATTTCCAATCAAGTGGATCTCCTTGCCCCCACCCCATTAACACAGTGTCTTTCCAACACAGCTTCCCCTAGCTCTCTACTCACTCACCATACATTTCCTCTCTTTTTCTAATTACTAAAGAAGCATTCATCTCTGCATAACTGAAACAAACTGGATCTGAAAGTTCTGTTTATTCTGTATTTTTAATTTTTTTGGAGTAACCTGGAACTAGTTCCTTATTACTTCATTATGATATAACCCTCTAAATTTCCCTCTAGGACTCTAAGAACCTAGGAACATGAGACTGTTTCTAAGACTTGGCTCTTTCTATTTTTTTTCTAAGTGCATAAGAGCTTTCTGATGTGTGTAGTGCGGTGGAAGATCTATCTGCTTCTCAATGCAGATAATAACCAAGAACTTAGATGACAGTTTCTACTCTTACCTCTATTGCTCGAATTACTTTAGAAAGTTCTTTAATAAGATGTCCAGGTCTAACATTGTCTGGAATTTCAAAGGCATGTTCGGATACAAGCTGTATTTGGATTAACAAAGACAAAACAACCAAAGTTACTTACACTTTAACATGTAAAACAACTAATTTATTAAACCAATTTTGGGGTTCTCCAAATTTTATAGGCACAGTTAAATACTAATAAGCCAGGTCTCAGAGTTCATGTAATTGGTGTGATACCTTCTAAGGAGATCCTCATTAACATAAAATCCTTTTAGAATGAGTTAAAGATGGACTTATCTCACAGTGAATTTTGCTTTATATTGAGTAGTAACCTTGTACTCTAAACCTCACAGCCAACTCTACGTCTAACTACTGCTATCCTTAGTAAAGGAATAATTAAAACTAACATTTAATGCATAACACATAAGGACTGCAGGGGCACCGGAGGCGCTGAGCTCACCCTAGGCCACGGCACAAGAAAGGCGCTATGCAAGCACCGGGGAAGGACACACCCATTCCAAATGGAGATCCAGATGACCTCTTGGATGACGTCCTGGGCACATTTTAGTGAGGACGGAAGCTCCTGACCTCCTCTTCTTGCATTTCTACATTAAGTCTGGCAGAGAGAAGAGCATGGGCTTCACAGTCCCGGAGACCGAGACTTAAGTCCTAGCTCCGCCAGTTCTCTTGGCAAGTTATTCGAACTCCTTGAACCTCAGCCTCCACACGCAAATGGGGATGACAAGCACCCAGACCTCATTGAGTCGCTTTGAGGATTAAATTAGTTTATGGATATAAAGGCTAAGCATAGTGGTGAGCACACTATGACAGTGTAGTTATTTATTATTATTCTATATCTACATGTTCATTTCTTAGTCAATACCCTAGATATACTTAAATTACTTTCTTTTCCAACTGAAAGAAATACTGAGGTACTTTACTCTCCTAGAAACATAAACCAGTGCATTTGCATATACTGTAGAATAAAATACAGGTTGTATTTAAAATTGAAAGCATGATTTCTAGTCCCTCTACTGCAGCTACTTGTGCCACACAGTTTGAGGACTCTATTCTCCTGACCTTACCATAAAAAATAACAATTACTTCACCAAAGAAAACAGCTTACCTCTTTCTTCATCCACAATTTTAAAGCAGTATGCAGGGCTTTCACGCCCTGTACTAGGTAAGTTTGAGGCTGGAAACCATCTTCTCTCAGTTCTGTGGTGATGAAAGAGGAGGGGAAGGAGTTTAGTGCTTTGAAGATAACTGGATTAACTTTAGATTTCTGAGTAACAGTTGCATAACTTCCAAATTAATAGAAAGGATAAAAGTGAATAAATAGTCCTGGCCAGTTTGTTTCAACAGTTAGAGCATCAGCCAGTGGACCAATGAGTCACGGGTTTAATTCCAGTCAAAGGCATGTACCTCAGTTGCGGTTCATCCCCAGCCCTGGTCAGGGTCTTGCAGGAGGCAACCAGTCAATGTGTTTCTCTCACATTGATGTTTCTCTCTCTGTCCCTGTCTCTCCCTCTCTCTCACTCTATCTGAAGATAAACAGAAAAATATCCTCTGGTGAGGATTTAAAAAAAAAAGAATAATTGACTGAAAAAGCAAGAAAGGAAAAAAAAAACAATTTCATTAAATGTCATTGTACTAAATGCTCAAGTTAAAAAAAAAGTTCACAAATACAATGCTGAGTAAAAGACAGGTCACAAACGAATGTCAGTATGAAACTTTTCATATGATGCCTAAAAACGGACAAAATTAAACTATTTTAATTTGTGACATAGGTGATAAACAGAAGAAAAGGATGACCATGAAAGTCAGGATCGTGGTTCTCTCAAAGGGAAGGAGGGTGCAATGGGAAAAATAAGGAGCATGACTAGGGCACTGACAAAGCTGTTTCTGCTCACTTTGCGTACAGGTGTCCTAAGAGACAGCTTATAATTCTTTAAACTGTACAAGAGTATATGTGTACGCTGTGTGTGATCCCTACACTTGACTGTGGGCATGAAATACTTCACTATTGTAAAATACACACACACACACACACACACACACACACACACACACACACCCCTCTTGGTTTTTTAACCAAATTGATTATTTAAACCTCATTAAACATACATGAGATGTGGTCTACAACTAAGGCAAGTTGAAGCAAAAATGAAAGATTTCACTTTTTCCCTGGGGCTAATTTACTTACTGTTTTACTTTACTGACACTAAATTCAGTTAAGAATTTCATACAACCCACCCTCATTTAACCCATCATATAAGCCTATTAACAGTCTGAGAGATGGCCACAGTGGAAAGTTAAAAGATCAGGGATGAAAGGACAATATAAGGTGGGGTAAAAAGACCACCATTCCTGACTCCAGGATGAATACCCAGGATGATGGCACTGGGATAATGGTCCTTTGGCTCTATCCTCAGTGGGATTGACACACTAGGATTGCCAGGTATTCTCCCTCTACTGATCTGGCTGATTAAATAAAAACACTTTAAAACCTGACCTGCAAATATCCTTTTACAATCATCTTTTTCTTTTCTTTAATGTATAGGGTATGTTTTCAACCAGACCTCAATAGTTTTCAATTCTCAATGGCTAAATCATTCTAAGACTGAGCAATTTGCTGCTTGTGGCTGCAAGAAGAGAAAGATTTTGCCTTTCAGATAAATTCCTAATTTGTTCTATAAAGTTGATAGATGCCCCAGACATTAGGGGAAAGTATCACCTGAGGAGTGTGTGTGCATATGTGCTGCTAAGAAAAGAAAAGATGGTAAAAATACTCTGAACTTACTGAGTATTGAATTGCCAATCTCTAATCTGGAGGCTGCAGTCACTGGGTTTTATTTCCAGAAAACAAGAATATCTGTAAGTGTTTAAATACTTGTAAACACTTTTATAAGTAGTTAAAAGTGTTCCTATTTCTCTAGGCTTCTACTTGGATGGGAGACTATGAACTTTAATGTCTAGAATTTTACTGGAAACTATAGATGGCAACTCTATGGTCCATTGTGACATTCCTGCAGCCATGAAAACACTGAATGAGTCAGGGACTAGGATAAGGATGTATTTCTAGAGCAGAGACTGGTATTGTGCAGACAGCACCTGTTCTTCCCCATCCATGGGCTCCTTCCTCCATCAGACACCTGCATCAAAAAGACTTCTCCCTCTACACTGTGCGGCAGGTGTGGGATGGGGTTATTATTCTTTTCTCCTAGAGACAGTGAGCCCTTTTTTTTTTTTTAGCAAAGAAACCATAAATGAGTTTTATTTAGTTCTGTGCATGCTATCCTGTGAAGTAAGTTATTGGTTGTTTCTTTTCATCTTTTCTTCTTGTGTAACTTTTAAATGGAAAAAGAAATATGTTTAGAATAGACTTTACTGTTTATATCTGTTTCTTCTGGGAGTTAATTATAATAGTAGCACTATTTGCAAATGGACTGGAGAAGTTAGACAACACAAAATCAGGTAACTGTATTCTCAAGGGTACGAATGCATGAAAAGCAAAAAAAAAGGATTAAAGGAAAAGTGATATTCAATTTCCAACTTGACTGATCAAAGGTTATTAAACCAAAAGATAAAACACCAAATCTGAAATTCCACCAAAAAAACGGTAGCTTTCAAGTTTAAATAAAGAAATAACAACTCTGCCCTGGCCGGTTTGGCTCAGCGGTTAGAGCATTGGCCCGTGGACCAGAGAGTCCCGGGTTCGGTTCCCGCTAAGAGCACGTACCTCAGTTGTAGTTAGTCCCCAACTCAGTTGGGGTCCTGTGGGTGGCAACTGTGTCTCTCTCACATCGATGTTTCTCTCTCTCTTCCTCCCTCTCTCCCTCCCACTCTATCTCAACATAAATGCAAAAATGTCCTCGGGTGAGGATTTAAAAAAAAAAAAGAAAGAACAACTCTGCCCCTTTCAACCCCTCCACAACAAAAAACCCAAACAAACCTTTTTCTTCAACTACAGACCATAGCTTGACATTTCAGTTTTGTGCTAACAAGACTGGCCAGCACAATGGGCATAAAGAGTAATGGCACAGGTACTACCTGATTCTCTCAGGACATGAAGCGTATGCCCTTGAGTTTTAAAAGCAAATATTTGGGAACACATGTTACATAACAGTCTCTTCGCTCAAACTGAACTTTTGCAAGTGAGGCACTTTTACGTGCCCGACAGTGTGTGCAGGCCACCGAAGGCCCTGGTGAAATGCACATTTTCAACATTACTTGTTTAGACGCAGCTCTTCATATATGTTTTTTAAGGTTATGAACTAGAGATTCTAATTTGCTAAAAAGGTTCTTGACGGGAGAAATCATGATTTAAAAAAACAAAATAGGGGCAATCAGCAACACCATGCCACAAACAGGTCTCTCTATCAGTGACTTTTAGTAAATTTACAAACATCATGCATCACATCACACAACAAGATGAACAGATTACTAATTACCTTTCAGGGTTTCCAGCAAGTTTTTGGCTACAAACCAACATATGGCTTCAAAGAAAGGGAATTTGAAAAGATCTGGTGTTTTCAGCCTTTTTTCCATCTCATAACACCTGAATAAATATGATTTGAAGAAATTTAATATTAACACTTACTTCAAAGTTAAATGAAGGCAACCATCTTAAGAAAAATAAAATAAGCAGGCAGTGACATGTAACAACAATCAAGTACTGTATATTAATACAACATTTGGATAAGACTTAATTGTGATCTTATCCAGGTCTGACTTTAACAAATTTGACACTATTCTGAAGAATTACATGGGCCTTCAAAAAGATCATACCTTAGGATTTTTATCCTAGTCTTACTGGAAAGAATGTAACAAGGGTTCCACTAAAGTAAATTAGACAATATGTTAACAAGTCAACTCCATGTGTTGGACAACACTACAACACCCGATCAGGCTTTCTTTAGTTTCTATTAAGCATTCAAGCTCAAGACCATACTTGGCGCTGGTCAGGGGGAAGAGACAGGAACCACAGCTTGCCACAGTGATCATCTTCTGTGGGAGTCCTTGCAATAGTCCACAGAGCCAGGAGACACCTTTCCTCCAGGGACAACTCAGGTATAAAGAAACAAGATTCAGCTCTGACTGGTTTGACTCCGTGGTTAGAGCATCAGCCTAAGGACCGAAGGGTCTGGGGTTTGATTCCCAGTCAAGGGCATGTAATTGGCTTGCAGATTTGATCCCCAGCCCTGGTCGGGGTCGTGCAGGAGACAACCAATCAATGTGTCTGTGTCTCTCTCACATGGATGTTTCTCTCTCTCTCTCTGTGTGTGTGTTTGTGTGTGTGTGTGTGTGTGTGTGTGTGTGTGTCTCCCTCCCTTCCACTCTCTCTAAATATTAATGGAAAAATATCCTCGGGTGAGGACTAACAACAAAAAACAAGATTCACGCCTGGCAGTGTGGGAGCTATCCTGGCTTACAGCTTCATGCCTGGTACTCCCTATAATGACTCCACAGATGCATAGCATCCAGGGTTCTCCTGGGCAAGCCAAGCTCCAACAGTCACCACACTCAGGAAAGCCCAAATACATGGCTTCCTACTAGGTACTCGTCCTCCCAGTCCTGATGTGGTTTATCAACTAGGACTCATTTCACCATAAGCAGTGCTGCCTAATAACATTCTCCTCTCATTAGGCTACCAGGGGCACAGAGTTAGCTGAAGGTCAAACTCTGACACAGAAAGGAAAAGAGCTGTTAATCATTTCCCCATAGTAAAATTAAAGGAGGTGTGCCCTGGCTGGTGTGGGTCAGTTGGTTGAGTATCATCCCCTGCACTGAATGGTTGCTGGTTCGATTCCCAGTCAGGGCACATGTCCAGGCTGTGGGCTTGGTCCCCAGTATGGGGTGTGCAGGAGGCAGTCAACTGATGTTTCGATCTCACATTGATGTTTCACTCGCTCTCCTTCTAAAAATTAATTAAAGTATTTTTTAAAACATAAAAAAGGTGTTCTGATAGCCACCTGAGCTTAGGGTTCTTATCCCCAACACCATATGTCATTCCTGAGCCTGACTGGATTTACTTCATTTCCCTCATTGTAAAAACAGCCCAAGGAGAGACAGCCCATGCATTTCTATAAAATTCTGAAATCTGAGATGTTTAGTCTCAAACTGAATAAATTATTATTTTTTTATTTTAGATTTTAAATGCATCAAAATGTCCCCCTGACAAAATTTTAAGACAATACTTCTGTTAAAAGTTCCTATTCTTTTTTTTCAATCTTCACCCGAGGACATTTTTCCATATTTTGTTCAGATAAAGTGGGAGGGGGAGAGAGAGAGAGAAACATCGATGTGAAAGGGACACGTCAAGTGGCTGCCACCCGCACGACCCACCCAGGGCCGGGGACAAACTGTAACTGAGGTACGTACCCTTACCGGGAACCGAACCCGGGTCTCTCTGGACCGCAGGCCGACGCTCTAACCGCTGAGCCAAACCGGCCAGGGCTAAAAGTTCCTATTCTTAATAATTTTTCAGGGACTATTTCCATGAGATCTCAATTAAAATATGTTGTTGAATTTAGCTTTTTGAAACTTTGAAACAATGTCCTATTTAATAAATACTGATGTCACAAACCTGAGCTGCATGCCAATATTAAGGTTGTGCAGAAAGTTCCCCCCAAAAGCCATACAGTCCTGAGAAGTGAGCACAGCATGAATCCACCCTGAAATGGTTAAACGTATATAAATCAGTGATTTCTCAATATTTAAACCAAACAAATGCTATGTCTACCTGTGAAATAAGAAACTCAAAACATCAACATCAGTTTACTTTATAATATAGTGCTAGAAAAGTTAATGTCTATAAAACCTATAGATCCCAATATTTATCAAAGGCCTGTTATATACCAGGCTCTGTGCTGAGTTTGAGGAAACAAATGCATTGATCCAATTAGACAAAATCATGGAACAAGATAGGTGAAGGTTTTAGTGGTTGTTGCTGTTTTAGTTTATTAAAAAAAAAAAAAAAGCACACTTAGTATAAAAGATTTTACTCCAAGACCAGTCAAATCTGGTTAGAATGAGGCAAGCACATTTCCATTCAGTGCAGCTTCCCTAGATGCTGAACTGAGTGCCTCGGCGCTAAGCACAGGAGGATCAGTGGAACTCAACCGGACACCTCCACATTTCATTATGGAGGGCTTTGGGCCTATAAATATAAATGTTGGCAATCAAAATGATGTGTCTTATTTTCCCACAAAAATATTTTCAAAGTGAGAAACATTTCTAAGAGATGATGCCTAGCTTTCAAAAAAATGTCTATAGACTTCATGTAAGTATAAATAAATATATACATATACATGTAAAAATCAGCTATTAAAATAGGCCCCATTTTCTTTATATTGTTTCATCTTTTGACCCCTCACTGTGCTATGACACAATATCAAAAAACTCCTCTAAGACTGACTTTCAAATAGTGCCCAGTTGCGTGCTCAAAGGCACAAAGCCTTGGGCTTGAACCTGAAATCACATATTAGAAGTCTGTCAGCTCCAAATCCTATAAATCAGTGGCTCTCGCAGAAGCCATACTGCCTATAGAGGGTGTTTGGGAAAGTCTGGGGGGGCTTCTTTTGAGTGTCACAATGATCAGGAGGTACTACTGTCAGTTTGTGAGTGGGAGTCAGGGGTGCAAAATGCAGGACAGTTCCACACAGTAAGAAACTGCCCTGCAATACTCAGGACTTAGAAATTACCGCTGGGCATTCATTTAGTACAAAGTCTACTGTGAACTGTCTGAGCCCAGAAACTGTAACTCCATTATAAATGTAAACAAAGTAATTTTTGCATGGTTTGGCATTATTTTCCAGGAATACAACTACTCTGTAAATCGAAGGAAACCTGTTTGGAAGTTTATCAGTTGTCAACTGCTTTGGGAAACAAGGCAATGCCTGCAGTGGTCACCCAAATCAGAATAACACAATTCTAAAACCCCTGGCCCGGAGAGCCCTGCATTCCATCACATCTCCAAACTTGATACCTATACTGAAGCTACAGCTAAGTCTGGTACTCAGTCCCTTCCTCAGGTCCCTCAAGCACACTCCTAACTGTCCTAGGACAACAGCCCAGGTTCTTACTGCTGGCTTGAGCTTTCACAGCAATGTAGAGCTACCAAGTTAAAGTGAAAGGGAGCTTCATCAAAATTTTAAAATTCTGTGCAAAGGACATTATCAAGAAAGTAAAAAGACAACTCACAGAATGAGAGAAACTAGTTGCAAATCATATGTCTGGTAGGATCTAGTATACAGAATATATATAAAGAAGGCTTACACCTCAATAATAAATAGACAAATAATCCAACTTAAAAGTGGGCAAACGCCCTGGCCAGTTTGGCTCAGAGGCTGGAGTATTGGCCTGAGGACCAGAGAGTCCTGGGTTCGGTTCCTGCTAGGGGCAGATACCAAAAAAAAAAAAAAAAAAAAATCATTAAAAAAAAAAAAGTGGGCAAAGGATTTTAATAGACATTTCTCTTTAAAGAGATATTCAAATGGCCAATAACCACAAGAAAAATGCTCAGGATCATTACTCATTAAGGAAATGCAAAGCAAAACCAGTGAGATACCACTACTTCACACCCACTAAAATGGCAAAAACAAAAAACATAATGACAGTGTTGGTGAGGATGTGGAGACATGAACACACTGTACATTGCAGGGGGGAGTGTAAAGTGGTGCAGCCATTTGGAAAAAGTTTGGCAGTTCCTCAACAAGTTAAATGGCATTCAACCATATGGCCCAGCAATTCCGTACTAGGTACATAGCCAAGGGAAATGAAATACCTCACAAAAACTTTTATACACATGTTCAAAGAGGCACAATTCATAATAGTTAATATTTGGAAACAACCCAAATATCCATCAACTAATGAATGGATCAATGAAATGTGGTCTATCTGTACAATGGAATGTTAATCAGCCATAAAAAGCAATGAAGTACAGATATGTGCTACAATAAGGATGAGCCTAGTCAACATTATGCTAATTAAAAGAAGCTAGATACAAAAGGCCATATACATACATGTATGAAATGTCCAGACTAGGCAAATCCACGGAGACTGAAAGCACATTAGTAGGTGCCGGGGCCTCAAAGAGGGAGGAATGGAGATGTGACTGCTAACTGATATGGGCTGCTTTTGAGGTGATGAAATTAGAATGAGGTGGGTGGTAAGGTTGAACAACCTTGTTAATATACTATAAACCACTGACTTGATCACTTCTCTTTGGCTAAGATCAAGGGTAAAAAACCATTGACTTGTATACCTTAAAAGGGTATTATAGTATGTGAACTTTATCTGAACAAATATCAAAATGAAGGAAAATGACATAAAACAAGTCCAAACAATAAGGGAAGCCCTCTAAGGGACAAAGAAGTAAAAAGTCCAAGATAAGATCTCAGGCTGTGCAAAGCTACTCTTCCAACATGTTAAAGCCAGAGTTTCTAATTAAAAGCTCACTCCATGTGACTGAATATCAACAATGGGGAGCGGAGACAGGATTAAAACCTTACCTGTAGGAACAAATAAAGTATGTCCCTGCTTTACCACACATTTGTAGCATTTATCCACCTTATCTCCAAAGAACACCTCACTCTGGGTCACAGATGAACTCCAAGATTCATAGAGTGCCAAATTTTCATCTGTTGGCTTTATCAAATAAAAAATCTTCTCACCCTAAATGAAGTAATCACACTGTTACTGAAAAGAAAAGGCCATTCTTAGGATGGCCTACCTTGATGTGACTTCCCAATACAATGACCTAAATTAAATAAGATAATTGTCAGATTTTTTTAGGCTCAAAAAGACATATTTCACATACCTGATCAAAAGCTATTGCCCTTAACAAGTGTCTTCACAGGAGTTAAGTCTCCCCCTCCCAAATATGGTAAGTCAATAAGTAGTACTGGAGAAACGGTTACAAAAGAGGAGGGTAAAAAAAATCACAAACATCCTACTGATTTCATTTTCAAGGTAAGGAAGTAAATTCATGGTAATAGACCCCAGATTACAGAGAGTCATTTCTGTGAATGTTGCCCTTTCTCCTAAGATCTATAATATAATGATTATTTGTAAAGACTTGCAAATCAACTTCCTTTAATGAACTAGCCCTTGGCTTTCTCATGGAGAAAAAAAAATAAGAATTCAAGGACACATTGCCAAATACTACAGTACAGAGCATTGCTGGTGTACAGGCATTTAATATAGACAAAGATTTGGTTCCAGATCAGCACTGTCCAACAGAATGTCCTATGTTGATGGAAATGTTTTATATCTGTGCTACCCAATACAATAACCATTAGCCACATGTGGTTACTGAGTACATGAGGAACTGAATTTTGGTGCAAATGACAAACTGAATTTTAAATTATATTTCATTTTAATTATTTAAAATTTAGCCGCATGTGGCTAGTGGTTACTGTATTGAATAGCATAATTCTAGATAAAGCAAGGTGAATATAAACTGCCAAGAAGAATTAGTATTTTCTGGACCTTCCTGATATATCCAACTACCTTTTCTATCCTAATCTTAAGGTCAGAAGCAATTGTTATTACTGTAGTTTTGCTCCTTCTCAGGTCCTGATACAGGGATTAAATGATAACTGACTAGGGGGAAGAGACAAAAGGCTACAAAAGACCAACTCATAAGATCGTGGAAAAAAAAAAAATTTAAGAATTCATGGCTCCTCTGCTACTTGGAATTAAAAAATCATAATGCTTAAAGGTAAAATGATAGGTCCCACTTAAAAAGTACAAACATTTCCCTCTTTACAAATGTCATTTATAACAAATGAATGCACCCCTGGGAAAAAATAGGATGACGTGTTTTTATCAATAAGAGAACAAAGAAATACCCCCATCTTACCCAGAGGACATGGTACCAAACTGAAGTTCCACCAAAGTCAATGTGGAAATCTGTGTAGCTGTCTTGAACTCCCATTAAGCAGTATTTCTGAACAAATGGCTTGGGAAAGACTGAATCATCTGGCCAATAATTTTCCACCCAGGAAAGTTTTCTGGCTATGTCAGGGACCTCCACCAATTCAGACATCCTTTAAAAAAAACACACATACACACACCCACCCACATCATGCAAATTAAAACTTCTTAAAATGGCATCTCCCATCTTAACCCAAACCAAGAGATTAACTGGAAGTCAAGGATAACAACAATACTTAAAGTTTAAAACACACTACACTTTCTAAACATTCTCTGAGCATGCCAAAGCAAAATTTACAATGTTGCTATCACTGGACCATTTAAGAAGTTGCAATTATGTTTCTTACTGAAATAAGTTCATCATTTAACTACATTTAGCTAACACTCAGAAGGCTAACCCAAAATGTCCAGAACTACTCACTTTGTATCTGAAAATTCAAGGCTGATCACATTTAACACTTTTGGTCTGTTAGGATTCATGAAGTATTTAACATAATTGTGAAGTGTCATTTTGCTGTCTGCCTGCCTTGCCACATCAATGACATCTATCACTTTGTCACCACCTGCAGAGAAAAATTATAGTCTTATTATTGGGCTTCAAAGTTACATCAATAGATGCCCTAAACAAAAATACATAGCCTAGACAAAGAGTCTTCCTATATCCTTAATTTCTAAGTCCAACTGGAACTTTTGAAAAAGAAGATGGTTTTTGAAGGAAAGAAAGTAATTAAGACAGAGCTGCATAATTAACAGAACATAAAAACTTGCAAGTTTGCAAAGCTTTCTATATTCCAATGCTTTCTCGTGTGCAGCTCATAATGACAAAATGCATTAGACTGGTGTGCAGAAACTGCCACATGCTCTGGGTTTCAACCTCCTCGTGCCTAGAAGAGGGGGACTAACTTTTCCCTTTCAATTCTATAACACCTAAGATTCTATCATTTTGAAAAACTCATCAATCATTGGGGAACACGTTAACTAGGACAAACAATTTCTGCTTGCCTGGTGGTGTCTTCTCTCCTAATAGTCTGCTTCAAGAAAACAACAGTGGTTAGGAAGCAAAATCAGTTCATACTAGTTTCTGTGGAATGAGTTCTGAATTGAGATTAATTTACAAATTTCCTGTGAAACCATGAGGTGGTGCTTGCACACCACTGGAAGTATAATGTCCTACAGGATAAGACAGAATTCAAAATACAGCAATATTTAACCAATCTGAAATTAAAAAATAAATGCCATTTTGAAATTTTAATGTAACTTTATGGAAGTTAAAAAGTATTGCCTAGTAGACTTTATTTTATACTTAGGAGGCAAGACAATTCTGTTAACTGAAGGGCTTTGCAGTAATAAAAAGTTAACTACCAAATAGTTTGAACTTTTTCCCCTATACTTACATTACACTATATTTATTTTACTGGGCTATCTAGGCAAACATGGTTAGGTTAAACCTTAGCCTCATCCCCTAATTTATCAAATAGTCAATATCATCTGAATGTGAAGTCATGACATTTCACCGAATTTCCTCTGTGAAATGGTTATCCCTGAGAACTGTCAAACCAAAGGCTCAATAAAAGGACAAGTTCTCAGATAGGTAATGTATTGTAATGGACATGCAGTTCTAAGTCAAGGTAGATTTGAGATCTAATCCTCAAGCAATCTCTATCTACTGCTGACAAGGAATGAGATCTACATGTAGTCAGCTTTATCTATAAATACCATGATGTGAATAAACAAGATGACTAAAAATGTCAACAGTATTGCAACAGATAAATGCTTTTCCCCTTGTTTCTTAATACTTTTCTGGGCCTCAAAACAACAAATTAGGTCCAGATATCATTAAAAGGCAATGGGGCCAAGTCATAAATATAAAAACAGGTTTGAAATACGTGTTCTTTCACACAGCCTTTCTCCTGGCAGCAGGAGGTCACTAATGCAGGTCCAGAAACCTTGCACTGAATGCTAGAGGCCTAGACCCAATCCAATTTCCCATTGTCTTTTCCCAGCACCTGTAGCTACCCCGTAGTCACAGTTTTTCCTAAGCAAGCACCAGAAAATTTGATGACAACTAAAAAAGTATCAGGGTGAGTCTGAGGAAATAAGAATAGGCAAAATGTTTGTTCTGTTTTTCTCACAATGGTAGGTCTGCTTAGAAAAAAACAGTGTTCAACATAGGTAATTTCGAATTGTACTTTTCCCGACTCAGGGAATGAAACTAAATAAACCTCTTTTCATTCAACTTTTAATATCGTTAGGTCAGTATCATTTTTACTTTTATCATGTTTTCCCAAGTACTTAAAGGAATCAAGTTCGTACCTACATGACGTTCCACATCCATAACAGAAAAAGTAGCTGCAGGGAGCCTGAGTCCTAGGTCATCTAACTTGGGGACCATAATAGGGACTTCAAATCCATGTTTCTCCAGATATCTCTGTGTCAGCTGGCTGCCATGCATTTTCACAATAATCTCATCGGCACTAAGGAAAATGAAAGAGTGAAATGTCATCTTTGTTAAGTTCCATTTAAGAAAAAACTCTGGTAATGGGTTAATTCATATACTATACTATTATCTTATCTGTATCAGTGGTTCTCAACCTGTCATACCTAATTCTTTTTAGAACAAATGTTTTTATATAAAGCCCCTTTTAAAGTAAAATTCAAAATTACTTCAATACATATAATTGAAAATATATATTAAAGTACTTTAACTATAAAAAGAGAAAAAAATTAGTTTATAGTAAAAATATGTATTACATAAACTACACTAGAAGAGATAATAAAATAGGATGCTTACAGTTAGTTGTAATGAGTGGTTGAATTTAAGAGAATTAACAAGATCAGAAGCCATTCAATACTTTCAAGAGAAAAAAATTGGAGACTAAACATACATCATAGAGGGATGGTTAAGTAAACTGCAGTACATATACACTATACACTATTGCATACTAAACAGCTGTTAAGGAGTGATATAACTTTTTATATACATATGAAAGAACATCTATGAAAAATAACAGAGTGAAAAATGAAGTTAGCCCAGCCGGTGTGGCTTAGTGGATTGAGCACAGTCCCATGAACTGAAAGGTCCCGGTTCAATTTCCGGTCAAGGCACATGGCTGGGTTTGGGCTTGATCCCCAGTACAGGGCTCGCAGGAGGCAGCCGATCTATGCATCTCTCTCATATCAATGTTTCTCTTTTTCTCCCTTCCTCTCTCTCCAAAAAAAATCAATACAATTATTTTTTTAAAAACATCAAGTTACACAACATATGCATAACTCTTTATTTTTTAAAACTTAGAGGTATATTACATCCATACATCTATAGATATGTTTAAAATAGTATTTATGTAGAGAAGAGTCTCAAAAGATTTACACTAAGTCTTAAAACAGGAGGGAACGATGACCTGTTCGCTTTATTTTACACTCTCCTGTGTTCATCACATCAAGTAGGTGTGATGTAGTTAATAATCTTCACTCCACTATGTTTTTAGATGATGTAAAGGTTTATAGAGTTAAACAAATAAAACCGAAGTCCTGTAACTAATGGCAATTACAGTTAGGACATGTGTGATCATCGCTGCAGCCTGCTCTCACCTGTGTCTACTTTGGCAGCGAAGCCACAGGAATCGCCAGGCCAGGATTTTTAACACTATTCTTTGGGTCACAAATCTATTAAAAATGAGCGCTATGGCTCCTCTCCCTGAAAAAATGCACATGCCCACATCGACAACAGATTATTTATACAATTTAGGGGCCTCACAAGATTCAGCTGAAAATTCTGGCCCTAGGCTCCAAACCCACCAAGGAAAACAAACACATTTCTCCAATGACTTTGAAACTGATAGAGGAAAATATTCGAGAATAGGGCCTTTAATATCACAAAAATCATATGGAAACCACTGCGTTAACAATGTTTTCTTTCTCTCAGTAGACCCGAGGGAGCCAACAGTAGCTGCGTATACTGTATGTTTCTGTTTAAGGATAAAGGGGGTGGAGAAAGGAACCCTAAAGACTGAAGAAAAGGGTTTTATAGTTAGAGGATCTGAAATAATTCCCAAATAGGCTGCATGTGTGTGATTTCAATTTAAAATGCGCTTCCTCTCTTTAACAAGCCTGGATACATCTTGTGTAAAAGCTTATTAAGCATTATCACTTTAAACAGATGTCAGGCAGTGTGTAGGAAATAATCTAAATTAGCATGATTAAATGCTGTATAATACTTTTGACTCTCTTTGAGCCACAGGTGACTCAAATACTTTCCATTATCTTAAAAAACTCAAAAAGCCCAGTTTTGCTGCCACCAGAGAGGCTGAGCAATGGTTAAAGCTACTTCTGGTAGACTTAGGGCAGAGATAGATGTGAAAATAACATAAGAAAAAAAGAGAGTTTGAAAATAGGAGTAGGTGAGGTGACAAAGAAGCACTAACTGCTATTGTAAGGAACCAAGTACTTGAAACAACTGCCTTAGATGATTGTATTTCAGACTTTTTCGGACTGGGATCCACAGTTAAGAAATGTATTTTTACGTAGTGACCCAGTACGCTTGCACAGAACAGAAGCTCCATGAAACTTTGCTCATTTAGTCCCTATAACTTGCAATGCACCAATATTTTCCATTTCACTTTTTATAACTGATTTTAGAGAGAGGAAGTGGGGAGAGAGCAGAGCGAGAGAGAGAGATCAATGTGAAAGAGAAACATCACATCAATCAGTGGCCTCCCGTATGTGCTCCGACCAGGGATCGAACCTGCCACCTTTTGGTGTACAGGATGATGCTCCAACCAACTGAGCCCCCTGGCCAGGGCTCCATTTCATTTTTTGGCTGAGAATAATAATGGGTTGTAACCTGGTATTTGAAAATGTTACTTCAGATAATGTCAGTTTATCAGGCAACGTTCTTGTTTTCTTTGGTCAGAACAGGTTTCCATACCTTGGGAAGACTCGAGAACGTAATTCCTTCACAAAAGTTCTAGTTCCAGCTTGCACTGGTTTGGAACCATCGTCAATTTCTGTGTAGTCATGCCTGTGCCAGTTCCTCCTCTTTTTCACTGGATTTTTAGATTGAAAAAAAAAAAAAAAGAAACATTTTGGTACCTATTGATGCTATGTAGTTTCTAAACATTATATAATCAGACATAATTATTAAGTACAATAAAAATATTCACTTTTTTTAATGCATTTTTAGGCTGAAGAAGTAAATTTTACTTTATATAATACAGCAATTATAGGTAATTAACTGTAGTTTTAAAAAATCTACTTTTTATTTCACAATAATTTTAAAATTAAATAAGAATTTTAAATGAGCAGGAGTCTTAAATAAGATCTCCATTTACACATATTATAATATCTCAGAATTATTTAAAATCATGGTTTTCACTAGGACATTAGGTCATAACACGATTTTTATAGCTCATCCAAATCATTCTCTCAGAATAGGGCCTTTGATCCCACATCAGAAATCTATTCTGAACAGTACAGCTCCCTTCTCTCTTACGTCAGATTTATTCCCTACTAAGCATGGCTAGACTGACACAAAGAAGAGCAGGTGGCTGTGTCATAATTAGAGTGGGATCACAGAATAAATAACTTTATGGTTACTTCTAACGCCTAGCTCCAGGAGGCTATTATCTTGAATAGTCACAGCAACCAAAACCAGAAGACGTGAATTTGACTCCTGGTCCAACCATAACGCACTCTGCCACCTTGGGCAAGTCATTTAAACACGTCTGGCTGCCCTGGCCGGTTTGGCTCAGCGGTTGGAGCGTCGGCCTGCAGTACAGAGAGACCCGGGTTCGGTTTCCGCTAAGGGCATGTACCTCGGTTGCAGTTTGTCCCCGGCCCTGGTTGGTCGTGCGGGTGGCAGCCACTCGATGTGTCCCTTTCACGTCGATGTTTCTCTCTCTCCCTCTCTCTCCCTCCTGCTCTATCTGAACAAAAAATGGAAAAATGCCCTCGGGTGAGGATTAAAAAAACAAACAAAAAAAAACCACGTCTGGCTCCAGCTCCCTCAAAAGGGAAACGAAGGGAACGAGTGTTGTATTTCCAGCTGTGCTGAGGAACCGTAGTAAAGGAGAAGACGGGGAAGAGGCCGAGGGAAGAGCTCTGGACCCCATTCCTCTTTTCACCGGGGTGGCACCGTCTACACAACGTTTGTGTGGTATAAATGCAAGATTTCAGTTAAACATATACATATATGTTTTTTAAGTTTGAAAAGCACTCTTAAGCTTTGTACTAATGTCTGCAACTTAGACTGCATCAGAAAAATAAGATAGACAGTGAGATAGTTACACATGGACAGATACGTGGTAAAACAAATAACATAAAATGTTAATAGTAGTGCCCGGCTGGTGCGGCTCAATGGTTGAGTGTCGACCCATGCACCAAGAAGTCACTGGTTTGATTCACAGTCAGGGCACATGCCCAGGTGTGGGCCAGATCCCCAGGGGGGCATGCGGGAGGCGGCCAATCAATGTTCTCTCTCGTCGATGTTTCTATCTCTCTCTCCCTCTCCCTTCCTCTCTCTCTAAAATCAATAAAGAAGAAAAAAATTTTTTAATGTTAATAGTAGTACCTAGATGGTGTATTTAGATGTACTCATTGTAAAATTTTTTCAACTCTTCCTATATATCTGAATGTTCTCATAACAAAATGTTGGATGGAGGACAAACTCTATGAGCCTAAGTTACCAAACTTTCATCTTACAAAGATGATAATAATATAATAATGCTGATTCCTCATATGGATAAGGAGAAGTCACACTAATCAACAGGGGTGGACTTATTCATATGTAAGAGTTTAAAACAAGATTCCCAAGTAATTTATGGCAGTCAGACCCTCAATATGAAAGACAATAAATTCCATTTTTTTAATCTCATGAGAAAAATTGAGAATCATAAAGCAATCTTCCTAGAAAATCCCATTAAGACATCCTTTTTGTGTTATTTTTTTCTCATTTAAAATCACTTCTAAAATTTAAGAGTACTTAATTTCAGGGTTTTTTCCTTACATATATATAGATACACACACCCATTTTCTTTTCAACTGGGATCATACTTCTGCTTACCTTTCTTATTACATCATGACCATTTTCTCCTTACTAAATATTCAAAAGCAATTTAAGTTGGCTTAGAATTATTTTAAGATATAGATGTAGATGCATATTATAATCATTTTTTTATTCTTTTTTTTTTTAAAGAGAATTTTTTAAATCCTCACCGAGGGCACGTTTGCATGTATCTTCAGATAGAGTGGGAGGGAGAGGGGGAGAAGAGAGAGAGAGAAACATCGATGTGAGACAGACACAGCAAGTGACCGCCACCCACGCGACCCCAATAAGGGCTGGGGACAAACCGCAACCGAGGCACGTACCCTTAGTGGGAACCGAACCCGGGACTCTCTAGTCCACAGGCTGACACTCTAACCGCTGAGCCAAACTGACCAGGGCTCATTTTTTTTTATTCTTAAGCACTTAGTTCATCCTGAATCTTTCTTCAAACAAAGTTGGGATTAATATTCATATACATAAATCTCTTTCCCCCATTAATTCCTTGGAATAAATTCCTAGAAATGCTAGAAGACTCAAAATAGTTAAGTGAAAGAGTTATTAGGTCATTTTTTTTCACATTATGTTGTTGTAAATATCAAAGGAGATACCATAGGTCAAGTACTTAATTAGCCTAGTGCCTAGCACCCAATAATCTGCCAATTACTAAGATTTCCTTTGAAATGTTTGAGTTGGAGGATGTTAACAGACGTCTACAACTGTCCTGGTTGGGCTGACACGTTTAACACATAAAATCAGCCACTGCAAGGGCTAACTTCTTAAAGGAAGGAGGCTGATGAAGAAATATTTCAGTAGTGTTCATGGGGGAAAGAAAGAAAATTTTGAGTTTGGATTGCATGTGCCTGAAGATCACTGAGAAGATATGTTTAAGTGTTAGGCTGTTTTTTGATAACTGTCTTCAAATAGAGTTCTTAATTCCCATAAGAGGGTAAATAAAATCTAAATTCACCACAGTAGGTGGGTATCATCATGTCTAGATGGTATCTGTAATAACCAGGATTCCTGGGGAGCGCCAGAAGGAACAGGAAACCCTGGGTGGCAAGCAAGAAAGGCTTAAGAGCAGAGGGAAAGGGACCAAGGAGATTAGCCAAGTTGGGGGTGGAGGGTAAGGGGTGGGGAAGGCGAGCCTTAAATCAAGATAAAAGAGATTACTAGTTCTTGGCCATTTTCCCTATGGGTTCTCAGAGTTGGACTTCTGCCCAGAAGAGAGCCTATGCCTGATCTGTTATTCAAGGATGAGAAGCACATGAAGGACCAGGTAATACAGACTCTCTCTGATGCATCATTATTCAAAGTACAGGTCGCAATCCATTATGGATTATGAAATCAATTTAGTGAGCATGACAAGCTTTTAAAAAAATTAAATCATATAGAAAAAAATAGGGTACATCACATGTAGCAGGGTCTTAAATACCTCATTATTCTGCCTCATAATAACCCACTTAATATTTCATAAAAATTAAATTTAAATTATTTCACTTTGGATTATATGTTTAAATTCTAAACTAAAAGTGTTAGCAATTTTAGTTCTGTTTGTCTTCTTCAAATAACAACTCAGTGTTATTTACTTCTTTCGAGAATTACACTCAGTCAATAATTATAACAAGTGATATAGTACATATACTTCAGTACTATACAAAATAAAAACCTTTAAAAATACTTATGAGAAGAAATTAGCCAATTACACATGTAACCTGCTAACCTCAAATTTTATAGTGTGTAATAACAGTAAAATAGACACTCTGTATTTTACAAGGAAATATTTTAATGCATTCATGTAGCTTACATTTCTAAATCTCGTACTAAGAAATTTGGTAAATTATTAACATTTCTAACAAAACATATGAGCAGTCAGTTGTTAGTAAGTCTCTTTCATTTTTTTTTTTTATAGAATGGAAGGGAGGAGGGAGAGAGAGAGAAACATCGATGTGAGAGAAACACATCGACTGGTTGTCTCCCAAACGGTGGGGCCATTGAACCTGCAACCCAGGTACTTGCCCTTGACTGGGAATCAAACCTGAGACCCTTTGGTCCGCAGGCCGACGCTCTAACTGCTAAGCCAAACAAGCCAGGGCACTAGTAAGTCTCTTTTAAAAAATTACTTGCCCATGACCTCAGAACAAAATTTCTATTTAGAAAAAAGTGCTATATTCAAAATAAAGAGGTTGTATATAGAGGTTACCTATATTTGACCCAAGGGTTTATCAAGGCATATTCAGGAAAAAGTTCCCTTCTGTTCTAAAATGACTAAGTCTAAAGTTTTTCCCTTTAGCTTAATGGATATAAAAGCACTAGTTTGCAGTCTAGATTTTAAAGAAAAAAAGTAGTTATAACATATCCCAAAGTCTTTAAAATCTCTACTCTGACATTTGCACAACAATATTTTGATCTATTCTTCTGAAGCATTTGTAAAAAGCTAAAAGTAAATATCATCTTCTATGTGCTGTTGGTTCCCTCCAGAAGACATGGGACATTCCCTGCCTGTGCTTTGCCCCCACAGGAAGATAAGTATCAGCAGAGACTTGGTCTGGACCCTTGGTCTTCCTCTGGGTGGGACTATTGGGAACTGGTTTCAAGCAGAGAGGATGGCTGGGGCAGGACTCCAGGTCATACTCAACATGATGACCAGATTTGATAAATAGAAGCATTATCAGGTACACATTAAGTGCTAAATTCCAATTTTTATTTAAGTATCTAGTACTTACTCAAAGAAGAACCATGTAGAACTGCACAGTTGGGACAGTGATACAGGTCAATGTCAACAGCATGATGTTCTTCTACTCCAACACAGCTAAGGTAAAGAAAAATAAAGCCAATATGTAAAGAAGTTTAACTTAACTATATTAGATTGGCTGGAATTTACCTGAGAAATGTACACCAACCTCACCAATAAATTTGTAGAGTACAGAAACATATGCAAGGATAAATTTTATTCTTTTCCCTACACACTTGCTAAATAATTGTGGAGGAAAATATATCCAAATACATGGGAAGTGATTCACCATTAGCAGCAGTAGAGACATCAAAAGTAATGCAATTATCAGCCATAAGACCCTCAACCAACATGTAAATGCCACCTGTTATGGATTTAATGTTTGTGTTCCCCCAAAATACACAAGCTGAAGCTGTAATCATCCACTGTGGCTGTATTTATTTGGAGATAAGGCCTCTAAGGAAGTAATTAAGGTTAAATGAGGTCATAGGGTGGGGCTTTGATCTCATAGGATCAGTGCCCTTATAAGAGAGACCAAAAAGCTCCCACTCTCTCTGCATGCACACAAAGAAGAAAAGCCGTATGAATACACAGCAAGAAAGTAGCTGTCTGCAAGCCAGGAAGAGAGCCCTTCCCCAAAACCAACCCTGGTGGACCTTGATCTGGAACATCCCAGCCTCCAGAACTGAGAGAAAATCAATGTCTGTTGTTAAGGTCTTCTATTTTTGTGATATTTTGCTGTGGCAACCCGAGACAACTAAGATACAAACTAACTTTAAAATATGGCTGTTGTTAGCTAGAGGTGGTTAGTAAATTTGGGTGACATCACTGGCATGGTAAGAGCGCCGAGTCCTGACAGTTCTGCTGTCGGTCTCAGAGCCCTCATTAACCAGTTCAGTTAGTTTGAGGCACTGTACTTGGAATACGCTCTCCTATGGACTATACAACAGTGGCACCTGAGTCAAGTTTAGGGGAACCAACTAGGGACTGAAAAAGCTATATCAGTGACATCTTGAAAATATTTTTAAAAACCCCAGCAGTTTTGCCACATTCCAAGTAACTTATTTGGGTAAAATTTTTGTAAGTGTTTGTACTCCCAAAAAGTTATAAAACAAAAACACAACCACAATTTGTACTTGAAAAAGAAACAAAACAGAACTAACACAGAATTAAGGAGGTATTTGTAGACATCTCAGAACAGGGTTCACCTCCAACTAACCCACAGTAAAGGAAATACCAAAAGATGTACTTCTCACAGAAGGAAAATGACCACAAAGAGGTCTGGGATACAAGAAATAAAAAAGAAAAGCTAAGAAAGGTAATACATATGTGGGTAAATTTACATGAACACTAACTACATGAAACAAAATAATGTCATGTGAGACTTAAAAACATATAAAGGACTAAAACCCATGACAACAGCAACACTTGAGTCAGGAGAGGACAAATGGAGTCACAGAGTCCTACGGTATTTGTACTGGCAGAAGAGGGAAGGTAATAATTAACCTTAGACTTCAGTAAGCTGAGGAAGCCTATTACAAATCCTTGGGGGACAACTAAAACAATAGAAACAGAGGGTACAAATTTTAAACTCGTTGCAGGAAAAATAAGGAGGGGTGGTTAATACAAAAAAAAGAAGGGAAGAGGGGATAAAACTGGAAAAAGCAAAATAAAGTGGAGGTAAAAATTTTAAAATATATTTAATTACATTATATGCAAATGGTCTAAATGCTTCAGTTAAAAGACATTATCCAGCTGACTTAATATATAATCCGCCAGTTATAAGAGAGATGCATAAAATAGGATACAGAAAGATTAAAAGTAAAAGGATGGGCAAATAAATACCATGAAAATTGTAATCAAAAGAAAGAATAGCTATATTAATATTAAACCACATAGAATATAAAGCAAAAATACAATGAGATAAACGTGTTCTCTGATAATGATAAAAATTTCAATTCACCAGGAGGATATAATGGGAACTGTAGTAGAAGATTTTGACAACTTTCTTTGTATGTGATAGAACAAACAGGCAAAACAAAAATCTATTAAATATATAAATTTGAGCTACAGGATTAAAAACCATGACCTATTTTGGAAAAATTGGATACATGCAGAAAATTGAAACTAAACCACGAACTTATACCATACACAAGCACAAACTCAAAAAGGATTAAAGACCTAAATGTAAGTCAAGAAACCATAAAAATCTTCGAAGAAAACATAGGCAGTAAAATTTCAGACATTTCTCGTAGCAATTTTTTTGCCAATATATCTCCTCGGGCAAGAGAAACAAAGGAACAAATAAACAAATTGGACTGCATCAAACTAAAAAGCTTTTGCACAACAAAAGAAACTATCAGCAAATTGAAAAGACAACCCACTGAATGGGATAACATATTTGCCAATGATACATCTGATAAGGGGTTAATATCATATATATATATATATATATATATATATATATATATATATATATATAAAGAACTCATACAACTCAACAAAAGGAAGACAAACAACCCAATTAAGAAACAGACACTTGTCCAAAGAGGTCATTCAGATGGCCAACAGACATGAAAAAATACTCAATATCACTAATCATCAAAGAGATGCAAATTAAAACCACAATGAGCTCTGGCCAGTTTGGCTCAGTACTTAGAGCCTTGGCCCTTGGACCAATGACTTGCGGGCTCAATTCTGGTCAAGGGTACATACCTCAGCTGCCATTCATCCCTGGTCCTGGTCGGGGTCATGTGGGAGGCAAACAGTCAATGTGTCTCTCTCACATCGATGTTTCTCTCTCCCTCCCTCTCTCCCTCCCTGTCCCTCTCTCTCCCTCCCACTCTGAAGAATTAAAAAAAAAAATTAAAACCTCAATGAGATACCACCTCACACCTGTCAGAATGGCTACCATCACTAAATCAACAAACAATTGCTGGCGAGTATGTGGAGAAAAGGGAACCCTTGTACACTGTTGGTGGGAATGCAGGCTGCTGCAGCCACTGTGGAAAACAGTATGAAGTTTCCTCAAAAAATTAAAAATGGAACTGCCTTTTGACCCAGTGATCCCACTTCAGGGAATACATCTGAAAAAACCAAAACACTAACTCAAAAGAATATATGCACCCCTTTGTTTACTGCAGCGTTACTTACAATAGCCAGTATCTGGAAACATCCTAAGTGCCCATCAGTAGATGAGTGGATAAAAAAGCTGTGGTACATTTACACAATGGAATACTACTCAGCCATAAAAAGAAGGAATTCTTACCTTTTATGACAGCATGGATAGACCTGGAGAATATTATGCTAAGTGAAATAAGCCAGTCAGAGAAAGACAAATACCAATTATGATCTCACTCATATGTGGAATCTAATGAACAAAATAAACTGACAACAAAACAGACACAAAGGCATGGTTATATGGAACATACTGACAGCTGTCAGAGGGGAGGGAGTTGGGGAGCTGGGTGAAAGAAGGCAAAGGGACAAGGCAAAAAAACAATAACACACACACACACATATATATAACACACAGGCACAGACAACAGTGTGGTGATAGCCAGAGGGAAGGGGGGTGCGGTGGGGGTAGGTACGGTGAGCAAAGGAGGAATAAATGGGGATGGAAAGAGACTTGCTATGGGTGATGGGTGCACAATGCAGTGTGCAAGTGATTTTTGTTGACTTGTACACTTGAAACCTGTATGGTTTTGTGAACCAATGTCACCCCTACTTAACTGGATTAAATGACCTAATGGACATTTATAGAATATCGTACCTACCATGCATTTGGACTCCCACCCCACATTATATAAAAAATTTACTAAAATGGAGCATATATCTAAATATAGGAGCTAAAACTATAAAACTCCTCAAATAAAACATACGAGTAAATCTTCACGTTCCTGAATGAAAAAAAAGGTTTCTTCAATCATACATGAAAAGCAAAGGAGATAAAAGTAAAATTAAATAAATTGAGTGTCACAACGCAGTCCGAAGGCTTCTGTTTTCTCAGTTTAGTTGGTGTAAAACTATCAGCTGAGTTTGGAAAGTGGCAGAAAGGTGTGAGGAGAGAACATATAAAATAGCTGACCCGAGAACAGGAAAGACCGAGAAACAGGAACGCTGCTGGGCAGTGTTCAGAGTCCCCGGAGGTCTGTGAGAATGAATTCCAAGTGAAACCATTTCTGCACAGTTGTGTGGCTGTTTTGTTTATTTTCCAGTGATGTTCAACCCTGTGGGTCCAGCCACAGTTGGGGTTTTGCAGGCAAAGACTAGAAAGAGAGCCGAGGATATTTACAAGGGAGTTACTATGATGACAAACTGTGAAATCTAAGCATGAAGACAGGAGAAGGTCGTGAGAAGAGATGGTGAGATGGTCTGAGGAGTCGCAATGTGTCCCTACTACCAAGACATATAAATAAGGGTGACTGCCACAAGACTTATGGAAGAAAGAGAAAATATGGACATTACAATTAATTAAGGACACGTGGCAAAACTTAGCTAATAATCCTCAAAAATCCACGATTCCTCTCTCCAGTTTCTAAGCTTTTCACCACCCCCTCTCTTACCCTATATACTTTTACCCAAATGTCAGAGCTATCTTCAGGTTTTGACCAATTCTAATCAACTGGCAAAACATTTACAGCTTACATTCACTGAAAATTTCAGAACTTAATGGTAAATTAGTAAAAACAGTAAATTTGATAAATTAGTAAGTCTGAAAAAACAGTCCTTTAAATTAACCATATAAAAATACCATTTTTAAAAGCCCAATTATCAGTTTCATAAAAAAATCAAATTAAACATAATATTTAAATGTTCCTAAACCAAGGTTATTTCAGATCTTTTAAGGGTACTAGAAGGAACTACTATGTACATTTTGGTTTCTCTCTCAGAGGGTGGGATAACTTGCCCCACCCCTGGCCTCCAGTAAAAGAATTTTAGAATCACTAGAGCTTTAACAGAAGAACAAACACAGCAGGGCACATGAAATGCAGAATTCTGAAAGCAAATTTTGTAAGAATAGCTTTCAATCTTTCTTTAGTCTCTCCTACTTCATTTATTTCTATGAAACCCTT